ATCAGCAGCAGAGATCTTGTCACCAACAAACCATTTTCTACCTTTAGCATGTTGCGCCTTTAAGAAGTCATTCAAGTATTTAACATTCTTTTCAGTTTCTGGAGCGTAGTAACCTTGGTTGATCTTGCCAACAACTGTCTTCACCAAGGTACTGATTGGGAAAGGAACGGATTTTCCAGCAACATCATTGACCAACAAACCAACTAATAAAGCTTGGATAGTACCTTCGGCATAGTGGTTAAAATAGTCAATCAAGTCCTTGTCATCTTCAGTAGCTGGCTTGAATTTTCCAGTGGTGTCGTAATGGTCGATCAAGTATTGAACAATGAATCCTGATTCAGCCAATTTTTTGACAGTGCCATCTGGCTTTTCAATGTGAACAACTGGTGTTTTACCCAATGGATGATACTTTTTATAGCTTTCTGGAGCTCTAACCATTTGAACACGGTCTTCCATGTGCAAGTTGTATTCCAATCCTAATTCTTCCAACAACCATACAACTCTTTGAGCTCTAGAGTGAGCTAACCAGTAAACAGTGATTTTATCTTCTTGAACCATTGTGAGTATGTGTATGTACTTTGCTGATAAAGAAAAGAAGAAAAAGGCAATCAGTAAATGTGACACTCCAATGAAGAAATATCTATTTATTTAAGTGTCATTTTCCTTCCACTGCCAATCGACGCGGATATAAATTATTGACTGGGGAACGGCAGTTTAAAAGACAACTTTTATTGTTTGTGTTTTTGTAACCCTTTTTTATATTGAGAAACGGGACGGAAGAAAAGAAAAGAAAAGAAAAGGGAGAGTACTGAGAGAGACTAACAATCGAATGTACATTGTTTGTTGGCTATATCCGCATCTGAATGTTTTAAACCCCACGACAATAATTTATACACACACACACCAGCATATATATATATATCACAGGCACAGACATAGACACGTACACCCCTGTCTTAGCTAAGCTTCTGTAGATCAATTTCAATAAAACGTTGGGGATGTGTATATAAAAACCATTTTGCATTGTATCCGAGGTTTTCATACGAAATTTGTCAACGTTAGCAACTGTCATGACGTCGCCGTAATTTCGTTAAAGATAGAAGGACCTTACAAGTGAAATGGCGTTCAAATGAACCATCTAGTGTAGTGTAGTGTAGTTGGTATTGGATCTTTGGCTGCTAGCACTTGGTTTAGATTTACGTAGTGTGTACTGCATATACTCACCTCATCCCAAAAAATTTAATTTTTGCACCAACTTGACTTACAGAGAATGTAAAAGAAACTCTTCAACTGCTAATCATGTCCGCAGATAAACATATAAAAACAGTGGTATTGGATGCTGGGCCATTAATCACACAACCAGCGACAACATTACAACAGTATGCTCAAGAATATTACACCACACCCGGTGTTCATTCCGAGTTAAAAGATGAGTATGCTCGCCAACAGTTGATACTCTGGGGAGATCAATTAAAGATTAAGCAACCTTCACAGGGCAGTATCGACAAAGTGATCAAGTTTGCTAAATTAACAGGTGATTACAGTGTTTTATCAGTCAATGATTTGCATATTATTGCCTTGGCTTATGAATTAGAGATTCAAAGTGGAGGAAAATTGAGAAGCTTTCCTGGCGAAGTGTTGGAAGGACAAGAAAAAGATGCACAAGAGACATTAACTGAGAAAAATGGGGCTTCAGGTGATGGGTTTGCTCCAGTGAAGAAGGGCCGTAAAAGAGGTGGAAAGAGACAAAGAGAAAAGAGGGAGGCTGAGTTGAGGAGATTGCAGGAGGAAGAAAAGAAGGAAGAAGATGCCTCTTCTGAGCATATCGAGCAAACTGATAAGCAAACTGATAAGCAAATTGATTCAAACTCAGCTGCTACAGAGGGGAAAAACAAACAGGACTCAGGGGATTCTTTTCAACAGGATAATTCTAAAACACAGCAAAATGCCACTGTAGATATCAAAGAACCCACTCAGCAAGATATAAATGAAGAATACAATGAATCAGATGACGATGGCGACTGGATCACACCAGAGAATTTACGAGATGAAATAATCAAGGACCAGAATGAGAAAATTCTAGATACTCCAATTGAAAACAAGTTGATCAATGTGGCTTTAGCTACCGGAGATTTTGCATGTCAGAATGTATCCATCCAATTAGGCATCAACTTGCTAAACACCATGTCAGGTAAGCAAATCAAGAGAGTGCGTAATTACATGTATCGCTGCCATGCGTGCTTTAGACTCACACCTATCAACAAGGATGGCAAACCAAAACATTTTTGTCCAAAATGTGGAGGTGATACTTTAATAAGATGTGCCGTTTCAGTTGATAACAAGACTGGTAGAATCACTCCTCATTTGAAGGCCAATTTTCAATGGATCAAGCGAGGTGAACGGTACTCACTCCCATCGCCATTGAGCAAAAATCAACAAAGATTACAAGGTAGAGGTGGACACCAGCACAATAAAGAAAACAGACACAAATCACAGCAAAACCCTTTGATACTAAGAGAAGATCAAAAGGAGTATCAACAAGCATTAAAGAATGATGAGTGGGAAAGAAGACAAAATGAAAAGATGTTGCAGGATTGGATTGGAGGAGGAAGTGCTGATAATTATGTTAGTCCCTTTGGTACTGCCAATACTATTAGACCCAGTGGTGTACGTGTTGGTAAAGGCAGATATGTCAATTCCTCTAAAGGTAAGAGATAAGTAGTGAATAGTTATACAGTATAAGGCTATGTCTTTGTGTAAAGTTCATTCGCCATAGATGTCTTACAGAGAAAAGGAAAAAAAAAAGAAACAGGGCAAAGAAAAATCAGTGGGAGAGAGAATGTTTTCTCAACAGGAATTTAATCTGTTCTCTAGTTTATCTTTATCAACCAAATGAGCAACGCCAACAATGCTGCTAGCATAGCTGCTCTAGCGGCGTTTAATGCAGGCAAGAAGAAAGACGTGGATGGTAATACAACCACACACCCGCGACCAACTGGCCAAACACACATGCAACAGCCACAGCCCAGAAGAAGCCCGACTCAGAAAATTGTTACAACCACTACCACCAAAAAAGTAGGGAATGCTCACACAGATACAGCACCACTGGCGACACTTCAACCAGGATATTCACCCATTCAGAAGCCACACATCTATGATTCTTTGTCTGATTATGAAGACAGGGCAAGTAATGGAGATTACTTTACCCAAACACCACGCCAGGTATCACGACGAAGTTCAGCCAAGCTGCCAAACTACCTGCCAATGTTACTGCCACAATCACCAAGGGATATGATCAGCAGCGTAAAGAATTCAATAGATTCCAAAGCCATCAACAACGACGCCAGTTGTAAGCGATTATCGCTCGATTATTCGCCGCATGAGATGTTGAAGAATCTTAAAGATTCATTAAATAGAAAGTCTCAGTCGCAAAATATACCCAAGTTCATGGATTCCAGAGGTCAGACAATTCTCGATGGAGTTAGGGAGCGAGTCGGTGACAATATGAGAGAGACATCGAATAATTTGGCCAATCTTAGTCTAAAGCAGTACGAGTTCCAGAAGGCTAATTCTGACGCCGAATGTGGTAACAATTATAGTCGAAACGACTCCCGTACATCATTTGAAACGTGTCCAAATGATGTAGAGTCAAGACTGAACTCACGTCGCCAGCTGCTGACTCCTAATGCACATGGAGTGAGGATAGATGTGACCGACCATGATGCAGAAATGAATAAAGAAGAAGAAGATTATGACAATAATGACGTGACAATTAAGATCCCGGTACACGAGACTGACAATCTGTCGGTGATTAATAGAGGAATGAGAAGGAAGCCTCCGCCAGCATCAGATGAGGATCTGGACACAATAGCTCGTCTCACCACTTCAGATACGGATAATAATGATGATGCCTATTTCAATCTGAGTGATGGGTACTCCGGTGACGAATTGAGAAAAAAGATGCAACTAAACGGAGTGTCGTCGGAGACTTTTTCCAGTGGAGAGGCTATGCTACCGCCGGATGATTTTGTATCATTTACTGATAATGATGAATCCGAGCCTACAGGGGTGACCAAAGTAAAGGATACCAAGTTTCCTCAATTCCCTGATGTAAGGAAGCACCATCAACATTTGTTTGGAATGAGGCGTCATAGATTGAAGGAGGGTGACAAGTACCAAAGATTTGATTCGGGACCAAACTCCGATGACGAGTTGCTGGAATCGCCAAGTCAGGGACAGACACAGCTAGCACCAACAGCACCTTCCCCAAAACAACAAATTCAACAACAAGGACACAATAATACATCCAAGAGCAGTCTGCAGCCAGTACAATTTAAAACCACAATGAGAAAGACTAATAAGCGTAAGGATAGAAAAACTAAATTCGATGAGCTTAAGCCGTGGAAGACCCACGATGAATTGAATTTCCTAACTGAACAAGAACGGAAAAGATACGAAGGTGTGTGGGTAAGCAATAAAGGACTTTACATGAATTTGGTGGTGACAAAGTTGAATGGTGTTGATTATAATCGAGTTGATGGAGAAAAACCAACAATTGAACATGATGATTCAATGAGGGCGGCGTTGATATCAACTAATGTTATTCAACCCGATGCAAAAGATGAGGGAGACAATGTTAAGTCAGAGTCGAAAAAGGATTCACCCGATGAGGAGACACCCACATCTAAAGCAGAGGAAGCGGCAAACAAATTGCATAGTTTGAAAAATGCCGATTTGAACCAATTGATACTTGGTCCCGTGGTGAAGAGGCTTTGGAATCGAAGTCGATTACCCAATGACATTTTGGAACAGATTTGGAATTTAGTTGATTTCCGCCGTGATGGTACATTAAATAAGAATGAATTTCTCGTGGGCATGTGGCTTGTTGACCAATGTCTTTATGGTCGTAAGTTACCTAAAAAAGTTGATTCTGTTGTTTGGAATAGTCTTGGCGGTATAGGAGTGAATGTAAATATAAATCTGAGAAGGTGGAAATAGGGACTGGACCCCACGAAATTGATGGAAGTGGAGGGAGGAGTGATTGATAGAACTTATAGAATATAGTTACATTATAAATGGCTATTATGTAAACATAACCTTGTGATACTGGTTTAATCCACTTTAAACAAAGCGAAAAGCAAAAAAATCAATATACAAGCGATATGTCAATATTTTTTGGTAAACAAAAGAAACTGAAGAAAAAGAAAAAAAAAGATCTTACGAAGCTTAATCTAGTTCTCTTTTTGCACGAGAATCAAGCTATAATACACAGAGATGAACTTGATGGATATGCTTTCAGTGGATCCGCCATCTTCGATATACGGAAATGGTGGAATCGATGAACCGTCGATATACGAAGGAGAAGCAGCAGCAGCAGCAACGGTCGTAGCTTTGGATGAAAATGGACTACTGCAGCAACTGCACCAACAACAACTGCATCAAAATCCTTACCTTGTCAGCCCTGGTGTTGCAAATTGGCAAAAGAATGAAACTAATGCATCAGGAGTTTATTACGTGCCTACATCATTAACTGAAACTCAACTTGTACTTATACAAATCCTATTACATTTAATCAGTGAGACATTAATTAATGAGGTGAGATTGAGACGCAAAAAGACTAGTATTGATAGTTTACTTGAAGTTTCATCAATGTCTAGTTCAATTGCCGGTGGCGATGGTGGTGACAACTATTCCGAAATTGATTCTAACAAGGCCAATAGTTTGAAATTGGTTTCCATGTGTTTTGATAATTTACTAAGGGTGAGCAACCACCCATCGTTATTGGTTAATCATTTTATGCCAAAGCGTCTCTTGCTACTGCAAAATACCACCTCACAAGCTTCTATGTCGGGCAAATTACAGTTTTTCAACAAGATGATTGATTCGATATTGGAGCAAAACCGATTACAAAAAAATGATGAATTTTATCCCATCTTGGTAGTAGCCAAGACCACTAAGGAATTGGAGTTAATTGAAGGGTTGGTAATTGGTAAAGTGTTGACTTATACCAACTCGAGTAATTTAAAACTATACGATGATAAACGACGTCTCAATGAAGAAGAAGACAAGGATTCCAAAAGGGGAATTTATTTGAATTTGATTCTGACTCCACAATTGTACAATAATTATATGAACAAGTCAACGTCATCTAGCTATAGATTTATATTTTCATTTGATTCCAAAATTGATTCAACTAATCCTAGTATTGAAATGTTGAGACTGAGTAACCCATGTCCTATATTTGTTCCAATCCCCATTTATTCACTCGAGCATTTGACGTTGCAAATACCTGAACCAAATTCGGGTGGGTTTGATGTTGGGGCTGATATGGTTGATGGTAGCAATGGCGATGAAAATGGTTCTGGTTCTCTAGCTTCTAATCCGACGCTATTGTGGAAATTAAAGTTGTTGAATACGTTGGTGGTAAATTTCAATAAGTTTAAGCATCTAGTACAGAACGAATGGCATCGCCTGTTTTACTATGATAATTACGGGGACAAGATGAAAGTTTTTCTTGTCAATTTGCCTCATCCTAAACGAATTGATGACTTATTTATCAAGTTTAATGATGAATGGGTATTGCATTTTTCTGATGACCGATTATTGAAGAAATTGAACTCAATCTATGAGAAACAAATATTCGGGTCCATGGAATTAGGACAACCTTTAACTACTGATAATTTCGCATATCAATTTGCTGAATTGCTAACATTCAAGTTACGTCAAATGAATTTAGATTTGGAAAAGATGCATGCTGGAAATGAGAAAGAACAAGGAATTGGTCAGAAACGTTTACTTGAAACGTCTAAACAAGTACATTTTGATGAAGATGAGAATACGATAGCTGAAAGTTATCATAAATTGCGAAAATTAAATGACGAAGCTAGCATTGTCGATCGCAAATTATCACGAGTGGAAAGTGATTTACATAAAGTGTCGGAAAAAGATGCCGATTTAGATAATCGTCTTCAACAATTGAAATCAATTACCGAACATAGCATTAGTGACCTGTTGTTATCGACACAAACAGATCAAATTGCAAATTTACAAAAGGAATTGACTGATTTACAACAAGAATATGACAGGTTGACGAATGAAACGGAAGATTTACGAAACAAGTACCAACAGAGTTCATCAGAAGCAGTCGCTGAGCTGCAGAAACGTACAACTTTACAAACCCAATTGGCTAAAATAACCAACAAGATGCAATTACCTGGGATTGCCCAACTACCCGATTTGATCCATCAAGATACTATTCTCACAAATCAACATAAATTGACTCGATTACAAGCACAACATAAATTTCTTAAATCGTTTTTCCAACAGCGGATTGAAAAGATTTTGGTTGAACGACAGTCGATTATGGAAGCTAGTGGTGCGTCAGCTGGATCTAGTAGTCGCCCAAGTAATAGAATAAGTCGTGATTCGACCCCATTTTAGGGGAAAAATAAAAAAAAAAAAGCAGAATGCGTAAGACGAAAGACGAGAGTGTTGTTTTGTTGTACTTAGATTATAGCTTTATGTCATGATGGGACGTATGTGTGTAGATCAAAATATGCAGAAAAAGAAAGCGTTAACCAACGGACAAATTCAAAGATGTAAGATTTACGAGACGCAGGGTTATTTTTGACTCTTGAGCATTTGATAGTACAGTTTAACTAAGGAAGTCAATCTCTTTTGCAATACCTGGTAAAGTGCTACTAATGTACTTCTGCTGAAGAGGTATTGGTTTTTGATTGGTTATGATACTGTGGTTAGCGTTGTTGTTGGGATTTCTTAAAATTTCGATTCCCCGCATATACGCAAAAAAGTATAATTGTTTTCTTTTAGCTTAATTAGACAAAGTACAGTTACAGTGGTGCAAAGAGCTAAAAAAAAAACCATCGAAGAGTATTGATGTTGATGTTGATGTTGATGTTGTTGTTACTTGACACAGTAGCTATGTGATAATGTAACCATACTGAGAATGGTAGACTTATTGAGAAATAGTGGTGACTGACTAATGACTCGTAGTATTATCTTGTGAAAATTCAACTGGTAGCAGTATAAAGAAGTGTATTCAAACTTGAAGTAAAGAGCAAAGAGCAAAAAGCAAAAGGCCAAAAGAAATTGGAAAATGGCAAAGTAAAAAAAAAGTAAAAAGAAATTAAAAAATCAAAGTAAATAAAATCAAAGTAATAAAATCAAAGAATAAAAATTAAAATTAAAATTAAAATAAAAAAAAAAAAATCCAACGACAAAAGAAAAGAAGAAAAGAAGAAAAGAGAAAACTTTAACAAACCAAAAAAAATACAACACAACACTACACTACACAACACAACACAACACAACACAACACAACACCCACATCGTTTTACAACAAGGTACTTCATCCACCTACTAACTACTACTTATTACTTACTACATTCCACTGTACCATACACAAGCAGATCGTTCACATCTTCACTTCATCTAACAAATAGTACTACCTTTGGTTGCCTTTTCCCTTTTATATATATATTTATATATATATTATTTTATTTTATTCATTGTTCATTTTACAGTTTTCCACTGACACCACCACCAAGACAATCAGATCATTAGCATTTTACTCAGTTGATACCAGATTTGGAACTACCAGCTACTATCACTCAACTCATAAGTTAGATTCATATACTACTACTACTACTACTTATACACATATAGAGAGATATATTCATCATTGCTTGGAACTCGCCACATACCCTGGAGAGACAAAAGCTAACTTCTTAATCACCCACCTACGACCAAAACCGCAAAAATATCCAAATTTTCCACCCTTTGGTTATTTTATTTTATTTTATTTTATTTGCTTTTTTTTCTGTGTTGAAAGTACAAATCACTTCATTCCCACACATCAGACGAATCTTATAGGACCAATCGATTTCCCATAAGATAATCAGTTCTTATCAAACGCACCTAGTTTTTTTCACAACTACATGTCTAATCGTGTAGCGTCCCCAACTAATCCGGCCGCATTAGCAGCTGCACAAGCATCACATAGTCCAGTTTTAAATTCCAAAAGCGCAGTACCAATGAGCCAGCATCATCATCACGCGCAAGCTAATGGCGCAGCAGGCAATTCAGTAGCTGCTGCTGCTGCATCTTCGTCAAGCAACTCCAACTCATCGGTTGTTGGGTTGCATTACAAGATTGGTAAGAAAATCGGTGAAGGTTCATTTGGAGTTATATTTGAAGGTACAAACATCATCAATGGAGGACCAGTTGCTATCAAGTTTGAGCCAAGAAAGACTGAAGCTCCGCAATTGAGAGATGAATATAGAACTTATAAACATTTACAAGGATGTGCTGGCATTCCTAATGCATATTATTTTGGTCAAGAAGGGTTGCATAACATTTTAGTTATTGATTTATTGGGTCCATCGTTGGAAGATTTATTTGATTGGTGTGGCAGAAGGTTTTCCGTCAAGACAGTGGTGCAAATTGCAGTGCAAATGTTGACCTTGGTTGAAGAAGTACATCGTCACGATTTGATTTATAGAGATATCAAACCAGATAATTTCCTTATCGGACGTCAAGGAATGCCTGATGAAAACAATGTTCATTTAATTGATTTTGGTATGGCAAAGCAATATCGTGACCCAAGAACAAAACAACATATACCATATAGAGAAAAGAAGTCATTGAGTGGAACAGCAAGATACATGTCAATCAACACCCATTTAGGAAGAGAACAATCAAGGCGTGATGATTTGGAAGCATTGGGACATGTGTTTTTCTACTTCTTGAGAGGTCAATTACCATGGCAAGGGTTGAAAGCACCAACAAATAAACAAAAGTACGAAAAGATTGGTGATAAAAAGAGAACAACCCCAGCAGTCACTCTTTGTGATGGCTTGCCAACACAATTTGCAGAGTATTTGGATTCAGTGAGATCATTACCTTTTGATGCCGAGCCTCCATATGAAGAATACAGAATGATGTTGGTTTCAGCATTGGATGACTTGGGACAATCCTGTGATGGAGATTACGATTGGATGCATTTGAATGGAGGTAAAGGATGGGATGCCACAATTAACAAAAAGCCTAATTTGCATGGATATGGCCACCCAAACCCACCAAATGAAAGAGAAAGAAGACATCGTGACCAAAGAAGGAGCAGGCAACAACAACAACAACAACAACAAGCACAACAACTGCAACAACAACAACTGCAACAGCTCCAACTGCAACAACAATATCAACAGCAACAATTGAATCAACAACAACTGCAACTGCAATTATCAGCAGCTCAATTACACCAACAGAAGTTGCAACATTTGGTGAATAGACCATTACCACCAATCAAACAAGAGTCAACTTCAGCATTGCCTACAAATAGCCGGAATGAGATGTTGGCTAATGGCGGTGGTGCCGGGGGAAATAATGTTGGCGGTGCCGGGGCTGGTGGCAAGTATGAAGGATATGGTCAATACCAGCAGCAACCACATCAACAACAGCATCTTGATGATGATGGCGATGAAAATAAGGGATTTTTTTCTAAATTGTGTTGTCATTAGGGCAAGAGAAGGGATGAGGGTAGTGCTAATGAAGAGAGAGGAAGGGATTAAGCACCAACGTTTTAGATGTGTTGTTAGAGGCGATAATTTCAATGCCTTTGCATTTAGCGTTTCTTTTGGATTTGATTTAAAAATAATTATTATACAACTTTACAAAATATATTAATATTAATAAACAATGTGAGTGAGCTTTTTCTTTTTTTATTTTTGTTTTTGTTTTGCTGTTTTATGGTCAAGAATTAGACTTGTATTTTTGAAAGATAAGGAATGGTGTGTTTGGATTGCTGTATGTGTGGGGTTCTCTTTTACATCACCGTGCTTTGCGACGGAACACTTTAGGTTTCTTGAACTAAAAGTCTATGATATGATCCTTTGATCGTGACGATACGAAGTGGGAGGATCAACGGAGGAAAATTGTCTCTGATGATGATAATAGTTGAAAGAGCATCTGGGGATGATATACATTACCACATTTGAATAAATGAAAACAAATGACCTTGACATTACATAATAGCAAAAGCAAAGTGAAGCAAATATGGAAACTAAATCTCAATTAAGGAAATTTATATCCCTATATATATATACTTCTACACTTATGTCTAAATTGCCCGAATTTGGTTATTAAAAGTACAATCGGGGGAGGGGGGGGGGGGGGGGGTTATGGAACCTTTTGTCAAAAATAATTTAAATTTCGTTATCTATCAAAACTAGACTGTTTTTCTGGTGGNAGGGAACCTTTGGTCAAAAATAATTTAAATTTCGTTATCTATCAAATCTAGACTGTTTTTCTGGTGGTCCTATATTGTTTCCTGATTCATTGTGTAATACATCATTGATTGATATGTGATGTTTTTTGCTTATCTATCGATTCTAAAAACTTTATATCAAAAAAAACATATTTGTGTATATGTGCCTCTATTGTTCTTGCTTTGTGTCTTTGTTGTTTGTGTGTGTTAGTTTTGCCTTATTTTAGTATTCATTTTTCGCAACTAAATGTATCCTAAAGATTTATTTCTAATCTAAAAGATAAGCGCATTTGTCTACACATAATGGTTCCAAAAGGGGGAAGGGGGACGAGAAAAAGCATATAAATAGATGGTCAATTGTCCCTTTTGCTGTTTTCATAAACTGAATACTCCTTTCTTGTATGTATACCATACTTTATCGACAATTTTTCCACCCTACTATTTGATTACATACTTACCCTTGACTTGATTATTTGACTTGAACCACTAACAATGGCCGCTTCTTTTGTTGCTACTACCACTATTCCCAACTATCAAGATATTTTGGATGGCAATGTTCATAAGAAGGTGCCTCTTAACACTTATGTTTCTCAACTTGAACCAATCTACAGATCAATCCCCTCACAACTCCCAACACCAACAGCAACAATAGCTCCTTATTCTATTACTCCAATCAACCCTAAATTTGACCCTTTAGTCCATTTACAATACTACGCCAATGGCTCAGCCGGTAAAGACCAATACAACAATACACGCAGGTTAACCTTGGACCAATTGGGCCTTTCAAACCCACAAATGCAAATTTCCCCCATTGGTGTCTCTGATCCATTCCCACTATTCACCAGCGAAGCAGTCAACATTATGCGTAGTGAGTTATTGGCTAAGGAGAACTTTATGAAGTATGCGAGATATTGTCATTCTTCAACAACGGGGATGGATTGTGTTGTGCGTGGGTATGTTAAGGATAATGATGGTGTGGTGAATTGTGAGTTTATTCATGATGCATGGACACATCCTGCTACTTTGGAATTGATTTCTAGGATGGCGGGCGTTGAGTTGGAAGTTGTTATTGATTTTGAGATTGCACATTCTAATATTTCAATGAAGACTCCCGAGGAAGCTGATGCTGAGATTGCCAGACATGAACAACAGCAACAGGAGCAAGAAATGAATAGTGAAGAAGGTGCTAATGCGGCTACCACCACTACTTCTCCTACTAAATCTGAAGATGATATCCGTGCTGTTGTTGGCTGGCACCACGATTCGTACCCATTCGTCTGTGTCCTTATGCTTAGTGACACGACAAACATGATTGGCGGTGAAACTTCGCTTCGTATGGGCAAGACCAGCCCTGAAGCCAAACAAGAAATTGCCGTAGTTCCCGGTCCAAAACAAGGCTCAGCTTGTGTTTTACAGGGGAGATTAATCGAGCATATTGCACCTACACCACAAGGATTAAGTGAACGTATCACTATGGTTACTAGTTTCCGTGCTCGTGATCCGGCATTACCTGATACTTCGATCTTGGATACTGTCAAGCCAGAAGTCAATTTTGGTTCAAGATATCATGAGTTTTATCAGCAATGGATCAATTATCGTTGTGATTTGGTTAAGCAACGGTTGGATTTGATCAAGCTGGGTGCAATGGTTGAAATTGGTGGTGATGGTGTTGGTAATGGTGGCAAGAAGGTGTTTGATAAGAAGAAGATGATTGAGAAGTTGAAGGAGTTGGAAGACTATATTAGAGTAACTCATGAAGAAATGCTTTGCTGAGGGGAACAAACGACGCCATTGGTTGTGGTCGCTCTGAATTTGACCCATTTTTGTTTAATTTAATATGTAAAGAGTGTATGTTCTGGTTAACAGAGGAATATTCCTCCCAATTTTTAAACTATTCCCTCTCAGATCAATTCAGTAAGATATTACGTAAGTCTACGTGTAACTGAAACAAAATCTTACACAAAAAATTACTCCTTCAATTACCAACATTTGAACAAGATCAGTAATCTCAATGAATACATATATATATATAGTACCTATAACATAACATATAGCAGGGAACATATCCACCTTAATACCATGAAACTATACAACCGTAATCAATCAGGCGATTTTGAACCCATAAATATACAATCTAAGCGATTAATTGGAGCCGCATTGCTCAACAGAAAATTAAAAGTACACGGGACAATCTCTCCTCATAAATAAGTCGATTTATTTACATCACCATTGCAGTTACAACTTGGCTTACCGATAATTGCAACATAGCAAGGCACTTTCCATTTTCAGTACACTACCTCGTTAGCCAAGTACAAACCTATTGAATCGGAAACCAAAACTAAAATTAAGAATGGCAGACACTGAATCTCAGGCAGCGCAAGCCCATCAACATGCAGTCGAATTGAACAGACAGGCATTTGACGAAGTGCTAGCTCAGAAATATGAGAAAAAGGAAACACAAATCTTAATGGCTTATTTATTTGTTAAGCATATGTTGGAGTTTGATTTAAGTTTACCGGTAAAACGAAAGAGTTTGGCGGAGTCAGAACTATTGTTGGGTGATGCTCAATTACCATTTAATGGGTTTAATAGAAATGAAATTTTGCCTGATCCAAAGACGTACTTGGCAAACTACCCAAATTCAATTTTCCATCCAGGTGTGAAGTTGTTGGATTTCGCTTGTGGGACTGGGATGGTGACTGAGTTGTTTGTGCCTTACTTGACACTGGATAGTAAGAAAAGTGATGCAGAGGTCAAGAGCGAGATTGTCGGCATTGATATTGGGCCTACTTTCTTGAAGTATTTTAATGAGAGAGCTGCTAAGTCGAGTAGTGACAAATTATCAATGAAGTCTTATGAATACGATGTGCTTGATCCAAAATTACAACCAGAGTTGACGAAGTTTAACAACCACTTTGATGTCATATTTTCCACTATATCTTACCATCACATTCATAATTATCAACAAGTAACCAAGAAATTGGCAGAATTCTTGAGACCCGGTGGATGGATGTTTATTATTGACTTTTACAATGAAGACGTTGAAGAGATTGACGATTCTGACATGAGATCCTTATCGAATGAAGTTCAACATATGGGTGGATTAAAAATCGATAAATTAAACCACACATTGGGTGAAATTTCGGGATTAGTGAATGTATCGAGTGCCAGAGAATTTCGGGCAAAGTTATGGCAGCCAGATGTATTTATTCGTAGTCACAGTACTAAATCCATGGTTGATAAAATGAAGAACGGCGAGTTAGAGAGTAAAGAGATTGAAGGACAGATGAATTACCTTGTTGAGAATAGTTTTATTTATGCCATTGGGCAAAAACCAGAATCAAAAGTGAAGTAAATGAGTGGTTCATACTTTGTTGGCGCGAAAATAAAGTATTACTTAATTAGGAAAGTCCGAATTGGCTCGCTTATGTAATACTACAAATACAAAATATTATAGAATCAGTCGATATAAAAGGTTAGTTTAAACATCTCCACTTACTCCTCTCCGCATGCAATTGATCCAAGAACTCACAATTGCTCCGAAATCTTAAAAATCAGAGAAACTAGTTCTTTCTAGTCAAGAAACCACCAGAATCAAACAAAAAACAAACGCAAGAATGGCATCTAACGACACTAACCCCCACCACCCACATTCAACACAAGCCCATCAACAAGCAATTGCCGAAAACAAACTGGCGTTTGATGATGCGTTTGCTAAAAAGTACGAGAAGAGAGAGTCACAAATCTTGCTTAGTTATTTATTTGTCAAACATTTGTTGGAGTTTGATTTAAGTTTACCCGTGAAGCGAAAGAATTTAGCGGAATCGGACCCATTATTGGGTGATGCTCATTTACCATTGAATGGATTCACGAGGGAAAACACCTTGCCTGATTCCAAAACTTATTTGGATAAGTATCCAAAATCAATTTTCCGTCCTGGAATGAAGTTGTTGGATTTTGCTTGTGGGACTGGGATGGTGACTGAGTTGTTTGTGCCTTACTTGACACTGGATAGTAAGAAAAGTGATACAGAGGTCAAGAGCGAGATTGTCGGCATTGATATTGGGCCTACTTTCTTGAAGTATTTTAATGAGAGAGCTGCTAAGTCGAGTAGTGACAAATTATCAATGAAGTCTTATGAATACGATGTGCTTGATCCAAAATTACAACCAGAGTTGACGAAGTTTAACAACCACTTTGATGTCATATTTTCCACTATATCTTACCATCACATTCATAATTATCAACAAGTAACCAAGAAATTGGCAGAATTCTTGAGACCCGGTGGATGGATGTTTATTATTGACTTTTACAATGAAGATGTTGAAGAAATCAATGAATCGTCCACGTCCCATAACAACAACAATAGATCAATTTCTCATGGAGTCCAGCATATGGGTGGGTTAAAAATTGATAAATTAAACCATACGTTGGCAAACATGGCTGGGTTAATTAATGTGTCAAGTGCTAGAGAATTTAGGACTTATTTATGTCAGCCAAAGGAATTCATCCTCAATCATTCTAAGCAATCAATGGTTGACAAGATGACGAATGGTGAGTTGGAAGTTAAGGAAGTTGATGGAGAGTTGAACTTTTTGATTGAGACGAGCTTGATTTATGCCATTGGACAGAAACCTGAATCAAAAGTGAGTGAGAAAGAGATTGTGAGTTGATGTATGTTTATGCTGTGAAAAGAGTAGTCGAGATCTGATAAGTGTATATATGTTGTGATACTAGAAATTGTAGATATATACTGAATACATTTTATGTGTCGTGTGATTAAACTCGACATTGGAATTTTTTATGACACAACTTAAACTGTTCCCAACAAAAAAAGAAATGCAAGAAAGAAAAAAAAGAAATTGTGTGTGGGTAAAACGACATATCAATTTAATTTCATCATCAATTTTAAAAATCACACTACACTTATACACACCATTTCTTTCCAGAATACACATAAACACAATTTAAAACATACAATCCACGCACTTTATATGCTCCCAGTTATACACATCATCATAACAGTTTAGCTTATTCTTCAGAAACTACTTTATCATACTACCCCTATTTTATAGATAATATGGCATCAAGGCAATCACAAAGACGATTAACCAAAGAATACAAGTCAATCCAGTTGACACCACCTCCTTATATCACTGCCAAACCGAACGATGAAAACATATTGGAGTGGCACTATATCATCACTGGACCACCCAACACCCCCTTTGAACAAGGTCAATACCATGGATTATTACGATTTCCACAAGAATATCCATTCAAGCCACCTTCGATATCAATGATTACACCTAATGGGAGATTTGCCTGCAATACCCGATTATGTTTGTCAATGAGTGATTATCATCCTGATACATGGAACCCGGCATGGAGTGTAGCGACAATTTTAACGGGGTTGCTTAGTTTTATGACGGGTCAGGAGTCGACAACGGGGTCGATTACGACGTCAGATAATGTGAAGCGGAAGTTGGCTCGTGATAGTAAAAAATGGAATATAAAAGAGGATCCAAGGTTTGTTAAGCAGTTTCCTGATGTGGTGAAGCAGAATAAGTTGGAAATTGCTCGTGCTGAAGAAGAAGAAGCGGAGAAGAAGAGACAAAGAGCATTAGCAAGCAATGGTGGTGGAAATGGTGATGGTACCGAAAGGGCTATTGATTTATCACAGTTGGATAACTTGGATCCAGAAGATCGTGCAAGGATATTGATTGAACACGAGAGACATTTGTCTGTTGTTAATAAAAATAACAACCGTAAGGGAGTCAATGGTGGTGATGGTGCTGGTGCTGGTGCTGGTGCTGGTGGTAGCTTTGGCAGTTTGACTGCATTGTTTGGTATTTTGGTTGCTGCTTTTGTTGCTGCTTATTTTGGCATCATGAAGACGGGTTGAGTGAGATGGGGGGAGAGGTAGTTAAGAACTGTATTGTAGATAAATGAGAGCTTTTTGATAGAAAGTTTGATATTTAGTTTTGACTTAATGAATATAAATGATACTCTAGGAACAGTACTGTGGTGACTCTTCTTGGTCAGTTTTGGCGGTAGATGCTCTCTTTCATAGGCTACCTAGGCTACCTGGGCTACCTGGTGAGTCTGTAATGGGTAGATTTGATTTCGGTAAAACCAAGGACAAATACTTCCGGAATTTATACCAGTTTCGGCCCGTAAAGCATGGAACTTTCCAAAATTTTATGCGAGTCAGGTTTTTGTGTAAATTTTGATAGTAAATCAACGCAACAGAACACATAGGTAGATTAAACTTATGGTAATAGCGACTGCCAGAGCAAACAACGATGTAACACTGATTTTCCCCATATTTGATGCATTTGGCATTTCCCAGAAACTCTTGGTTGTTTGCGGTGAAGCCAGGAAGTCCCGATTTTACCCCATTGAGCCCCATTTACAGGTTATTTTTTTTTGCTTTTTCTTGGGGTGGAAGTAAATTTAGCCAAATTGACACGCCTATGTTGAACGACAACGCCTTCCTCCGATTTTCAAAGTGTTAGGGATCTCTACTGCTAGAAAGGAAAGAGGTGTATATATCTCAATAGATATATCTTTGCCGCTTAACATAACATAAAAAGCTTCAGATATAAATACAGTGTATGTATGTATGACTTGACTTGACTTTGCTTAAATGTACGTTACTTTACTTTTACTTTACTTTTTACCTGTCACTTTGACGGCTAAGTTTAAACGAGGACCCTTTTCCAAAAGTTTGACAGATGGAGAGTTATTGTTTTGTTTTATATAGCAGATAGTAGAAGTATGATGTAATAGTACTAACATACCAGTTGATGAAACACCGTGTCTTCTTTGTCCTTCCCTCTCTGTTTCAAATACGACAGAAGTAGAAAGAAAAATAAAAAATAAAAACAAAGAAATGTCTGTTTCTCCCCTTTTAAGACAAAAACAAGTTACTAAATATAATTTAATTTTTACCCACTCACACACATACACATACTCTCTCTCTTTCTCTCTCTTTCTCTCTTTAAAAAAGACCAGAAATTTTTTTTTTTTTATTTTTCCATTTCTAGAACAAGCCAACCAACCAACCAACCAACCAACCAACCAACCAACCAACCAACCAACCAACCAACCACAATTTTTAACAACCAATCAGTTAGGATTTAGTTAACAAGCATACACACTATCGTTACTACTGCTGCTATTACCACTACTACTACCACCACACTAAACTAAACTAAACTAAACTAAACTAGATGGGTTGCTAATAATGAGTTCTGGTTCATCACATCCTTATCGTCAAGTAACTTCATCCAGTAGCAGTGCAACTACTGCCACTACCACTGCTACCACTGCTACCACTGCTACCACACCTTATCCTCTTCTGGATCTCAATCAAACTAGCCAAAGTGACCCCTCTGATAGCTCTCCTAGTATGACTGAAGTTAATTCAGGAATGGAAGATTTGCATTTACCTCCTAATCAAAACAATAAACCATATATACAGCATGATTCTTCAGAACTGATGCCACAGTATCAATACGAGCCTATTCCACCGCCACAACATCAGTATCATTACCCACAACAATACCAACAGCAGCAACAGCAGCCACAATCACAACAACATTACGCGCGTCATGCATCTGCGCCACAGCATCAACACCAACAACATCATCATCATAATCATAGTCATAATCATCCCACACCACAGCCACAAAGACAAAAGTACCGAAGCTTGTTAGGCGGTGATGATGCTGCTGACAAGCAACAGCGTTTATCAAGCTTGCCTACTCATTTGGTCCCAAATATTTCGCATTCATCTTCAGGCAACTCTTCACCTAGAATGGCTGGACAATTGTCACCAACTGACCAACAGTTCTACCAACAGGAGCAGCCACAACAACCACAACAAGTGGTGCCGGATCCAGCCGTGTACGATTCACCCAAGATTGGAGTCACTGAAATCACATCGCCACCAACTGCACCCTATCCGATATATGATTCTACTCCTTCGTCACCGCCTTCAAACCCATTATCAGCTACTTCGTCTGTGGTTAATCTCAACCTCAACAATAATAGCAACACCAACAATATAGATCACCAAATTTTCAGTAGATCTGAAAATAACTTGAGTACGCCTTCAGTTGCCGTATCGACAAAATATGGACATAACCGTTCAGTATCATCCACATCATCATTTTTTTATGATCGTAATGATAATTCGTCGATGGTTGATTTTAACCAAAATGTGATTCAACAGTATTTGGGTTCGAATTCATCCAATTTATTACCCAGAATCAAGACCTTGGAATTGTATCGCAAAAATGCCAAAAAGTCAAATGATCCAAATGTATTGTTTCAATATGCCCAGTATATGTTACAAACAGCATTGATGTTGGCAGTTGAATCGGCAAATAATACGAATATCAACACAGCTACTACTAATGCGCCATTGTCTTTTTCATCAGAATCGGGTGACAATACCCCCATAAACAATAGGTCAATTGAAAATTCTCCTCGCAAGCCCGATACTTCCAGCAAAGATAAAGATAAACACAAGAAGAATAAATCAATTGATTTTTCAACTATAGAAGTGGAAGGTAATGAAAAGAAGTTGCGTAAGGCATTTTTGAAAGAGGCAGTATTTTATTTAAAAAAGTTATCAGATAAAGGGTATGTTGAAGCCCAATATTTATTAGGTGATGCTTATAGTTCAGGAGCATTGGACAGAATTGATAACAAAGATGCATTTATTCTTTTCCAAGCGGCAGCTAAACATGGACACACTGAAAGTGCTTACCGTACTTCATACTGTTATGAAGAAGGGTTGGGTACAGGCAGAGATGCAAGAAAAGCTGTTGAGTATTTGAAAATTGCTGCTTCAAGAAATCATCCTGCAGCAATGTATAAATTGGGAGTCTATTCGTTCTACAGTAGAATGGGATTGCCCAATGATATGAATACGAAGAAGATGGGAATCAAGTGGTTGACTAGAGCTACTAATGTCGCTACTGAATTGACTGCTGCAGCACCATTTGAATTGGGTAAATTATATTACAACGGGTTCAAGGATATTGTCTTGCTAGATAAGAAGTATGCCTTGGAATTATATGCACAAGCAGCATCTTTGGGCCATACGCAGTCAGCCGCCATATTAGGCCATCACTATGAAGTGGGAGAAATTGTTCCCCAAGATTCAAACTTGTCTATTCATTACTACACGCAAGCAGCATTAGGAGGTGATCCCAATTCAATGTTGGCCATGTGTGCTTGGTACTTGGTTGGGTCTGACCCATATTTGCCAAAAGACGACCAAGAAGCTTTTGAATGGGCTAAACGCGCAGCATTGTGTAATTTACCTAAAGCTCAATTTGCCTTGGCCAATTTCTACGACAAGGGAATTGGATGCACAAAGGATGTCAAGGAAGCGCAACATTGGTATACTAAAGCAGCAGAGAACGGAGATGAGAAATCGTTGACTCGATTGACTGATAAGGAGTTGCTGGCTAAGATTCAAAAGAAGTTGAAAAAGAGGCCGGTTGTTGCTCATGCCGATGGCAGTGCAGCACAGGAAAAGGACTGCGTGATTATGTAGTTGTATAGGAAGAGATGATTGAAGATGATATATATTGATGGAATGTTGAAGAATCAGAGTGTGTTTTAGAGAGCTAGATGGTAGTGTGTGTCTCTGTGTGTACATTTTAAGAGTATAAAGTAGGCAGTTGCAAACAATGAAAAGAAATGATTACTCTTATGTTGTTGAAACAATATGTGCTAAAGACTTTTGACACCTCAAGAGCAATCACGTGCTGAGTCGACTTGTGTTTCAAAGGCAGCGCTGTAATTCAGGAATGGAAGGTGTGGTTGCGATAATGTGTTCCTCTGATGTCATTATTACGACATCAATTTACGGTTCAATTTATGTGCTAAAACGTTAACACCCAGTGTCAATTGAATATGAGCTGCACACACTGCCTCCCCCCTGAAGAAGAAAAGATCATCAAACTTTGTTGTCTATGTTTTTGTGTTGTAATCGAACAAAATTTATATGTACTGCCAAGCCTTTGATGCGTGTCTCACTCAAAAAACAGATTACCACCAAATTACATCATTATCTTCATCAACAGGGAACAAAAGCACATTTGTGAAATTTGACCCTAAGCCTTGACTTGTGAATGATGAGAAGATTCCAGAAGAAGAAGAAGACGTAGTTATTTGGCATCAATATAACAGTACCATTACAAAAACGAGAGATAATACCGCAAAGGAGTTCAAGATTGAGAATTGATCACGTGCATTTCTAAGAGGCTGCCTGCTTAGTAGTGCATATAATCTATAGAATCAATGGTTACATGCAGTACAATACAACATTACACAATAACGCCCCATTTTTGGCTCTTTAGAAGCAATTTCATTTTAATTTTGTTTTGGATCACCGGAATTCTTTAAAACAAAAAAAGCCTCTCTCCAGTTGTCGACACGTTTCCGAAATCGACAATATATATATATATATATCAATTGCAATTCCACTTGACTCTATTTTACTTATTTTTTGTCTTCTTTTTCATTTAAAGTCAATTGATTAAATATGTCAGCAAACGATTTCTACTCATCAGGTAACCAAGGTGAATACACCCCACAAGGAGGCAACAACCAACAACAACAAGGTGATGACCAACGTGGTGGCAATGGCGAACTGCAAGACAGAGGGTTCCTCGGTGGTGTCGCCGGTAGTGTCATTGGTGGCATTGGTGGTGATAAGTTGGGTGGTCAAAACCACGGTAAATTAGGTACGGTGTTGGGAGCTATTGGTGGTGCCATTGGAGGCAGTAAGCTCCAAAATGAATACAAGGAGCACAAGCAAGAGAACCAACACCATAGTGGTTCTAATGAAGGTGGCCTTGGTGGATTCTTTGGCGGTGGTGGCAGCAATGATGGTGGATATGGTGGTGGCCGTAATGATGGTGGATATGGCGGTGGCCGTAACGATGGTGGATATGGCGGTGGCCGTAACGAAGGTGGATATGGCGGTGGCCGTAATGATGGTGGATATGGCGGTGGTCGTAACGAAGGTGGAGATTTTGGTTATGGAGGTGGCCGCAATGAAGGTGGACATGGTGGACGCCATGGAGGTGGCGGTGGTGGCTTTGGCGGCCCAGGTGGATACGGAGACAGAATGGAAGAAGGACGTCACCATGGAGGAGGAGGTGGTGGTTTTGGCGGCCCAGGCGGATACGGAGACAGAATGGAAGAAGGCCGTGGAGGTAGAGGTGGTTGGTAAAATGAGAGAGTATGTCTACCCTTTTCCCGTATCTACAAGTGTCTTGTTTTTTTACTAGCTAATGGTTGTTACGATTTATAGTTTGTTTGAGAGTTAATTTTAAAATCAAAAATTATTTGAAAATCTTTTTGAATATGCCTATGTAAGGAAATCTCCTATGCTATGTACTTGGTAGATCCATAAATACCACTTCAATTGCTGTTTCGTTTTCTTATTCTGCGTTTTGCAGCATTACTCTGGCGGCCAGTCTATTCAAAAGGGACATCTTCAGCTCAGTCAAATTGAAGCTATGTAAGGGAGGGAAAGGGTGCTGTTGTTGTTGTGGTGGTGGTGGTCGTTCTGATGGCAGTGGTGCCGATGGAGTCGCCTCTGACTCATTCTGTCCGTGAGGTTGACGCTCACCCCTGCCATTGCCATCCCCATTATCAATTCTTGTCAAAGATTCACTACGTATGAACGGCACTTGTGGTAATGGTGGGGAACTCATTTGTAAATCTTGCGATAGATCAAAAAACTGTACTTGTTTGTTACTCATTGGTGAATCTAGATCTTGTTCTATTATCGAGTTGTTGCCGTCTTGAAACATTAGGTCGGAGTTATTTTGGAAACTAACATCATTCATACTTGTATCTGCTGTTGGATCTGCTATCGAATCTGCTTTTGGATCTGCTTGCTCTGTAGGGCTAACTTCTTTTGGGTCTCGGCCTGTTGCGGGTAGTGCTAACGAGTCTCGTTTAGAACCACTATTATTATTATTACTAGTTGATGACGACGCAGTAGGCAACTTCAAAGATCGTTTTGTTTTACTATTTGGCGACGTTTTCATTCGCCTAGTCGATGGCTTCCTTATATCTCGTGGTGGTGATATTATCGAACTTACACCAGCACCAGAACCTGCACCATTAGTACGTGGTTTCTTGTATAATTGAGCAGAATATACATTTTCATCATTGATCATTCTGTCTTCCAACTCTTCTTGCCTCATTGATACATTTCCATTATTAGTCCCAGTTTCATCCCATGTTTTATTTCGAAGATAATCCAAAGCAAATCTTTCAAAAACACCATCAAATGTTCCATTGACTAGTTTCTCCAACCCACCAAGTAAATCTTGCATTATTCTATCGTCATTACCGCTACCACCACCTCCGTCACCACCATGGTTGGCTAGATACGCTGCTATCGCCCATGGAGTACGATAAAAATCCGCTAGTGAGTAAATTAAATGGTCATATAATGCTGACGATTTAACCAAGATTTCCAGTTGCAAATCATCACGAATTGATTGAATCAGTTGATCATATATAATAGAATGATTCAACGTCCAATCTGGTTCTTCATCCTCCAATCGTTTCAATACTCGTTCAGCCGATTCCCCCAATATATGATCAATTTCGGTGCGTTGCCTATACTGAGACTCAATTTGAAAAATTTGATGATCAATTTTCGACATAATCTGTTCACACAAATCGTAAATAGTTGAAGTTAATTGATCAAAACGTTGATGCAAAAATGATTGTCGTTGTTGATTAAACTGTTGTTTGCCTTCGAGTAAGATTTCAATTTCAACCTTTTGTCGTAAAAGGACTTTTCTCTTTGCCAACATAAATATCTTTTTCGATTTATCTAGATTATATTTGGCAATATTACGCTTGACTGATAGAATCGTATCTTGTAATAATTGAAAAATCCGTATTTCAATCTTTTTTCTCTTATCAATTGTAATGCCAACAACTTGATTCTCCCTGGCTCGTAACTCTTCAATCTCTTGTTTTTGCTCGGTAATCATTTTCAAATAGGATCCCACATGTCGATCTAAATTATGTTGGTTTCTGATCAATTTGGTCTTGATTTCCTTAGCTCTATCGGCATACTTTAAAGTGTTTAAAGTTTCATCATAATGTTGACTACTTGGCGATACACAAACAATCATGACAGTTTTACAATTACCACCTAGTGAAAACTTCAACAATCGTGTTAGTTTCGAATCACGATAAGGTATATGATTGCGACGTCTAGGATCACATAATGCATTAATACAGTTCCCCAAAGCTAGCAATGATTTGTTTATATTTGCACCTTCATTCAATCTAGCTCCTCTATTCTTTGTTGCTGCTGCTCGTTCACTTCCTGCCAAATCTATTATTGATAATGTGGCAAACGTGTGTTCTTCTTTAACATCACCAGTGCGATTCTTTTGATCGATATTTATTTGCAAAACCGCGTGTGATCGACTTGATGTTGCATTAGCTTCGGTTGGACTCGATGTACGGTTGGCATTTCCGGTCATGATCAATTGCATCACCTCTTCTACTGATTCGGGCCGATGTCGTGATAGATTTGACACTGAGATCTTGTTATTTGAATCCTCTCTAATTATCAACTTTTTAAAATCTGTTTCCGGATTGAGTAAATCACGAATGGTTTCATTATAAATCTCAAGATATGATAGACTTACATCAACAATTTTAGTGTCACTTAATTCACCAATTTTTTCGTACAATTCCTTCATTGTCAAGAAAATGACTCCGGGATTTTCAACAGTGCCCAGAATAGTATGAGTTTTACCGCATCCAGTAGCCCCATATGCAAAAACAGTAGCATTGTACCCATCCAAAACCGAATCAAGCAATGGCCGTGTTGTGTTTTGATATACTTCATTTTGAGATGTATCCTCGTCAAACAATCTATCAAATACAAACTTGTGTTCTCTTATTCGTGACCCTTTAAAACTATTGGGGAAGGCGTTTTTCTGCATCTTTGCTAAAGGGTTAGTTTCAGGTGGGTCGAATATTAGCATGCGATCATCAACTACATTGACAATTTTTCTAATACCTGATTGGTTAAGGAATTTCTGTTTGGTTATAGAATTGGCTGATGAAGGGTTGTTGGTGATGGCATTGTTGTTATTGGAATTTCCATCCGTGAAACAACCATCTCCAAGAAAAAAGTCATCATCATCTGGTTTAACTAGGCGATTGTTTTCGTTAACTGTGAATGGTCTTACTCTAACTGCAACTGATATCGAAGACTGTTTGATTCCTGTTGGGTACACATTGGTTACTGTTGACGTAGGTGTAGATGTTTTCGAATCCATACCATTTATGTTTGTGTGGGAAATGTTGTATGTTAATATGCGATGGGACAATAGTTCAAGAAAGAATGCCGACTGTACTTATAGCTTATCGTGTTAGATGATTCGTGATGGTACTCCTCCTGGTTTGCTGCTGCTATTTTTTTTCCCGTCTTGTTTACCTTTTTACAGAATCAAGAAATGGGTTGCGCGTCTTTCTGAGGATAAGGATCAGAGGGGCTACCAACTGATTGTAAAATGTGTAAAACAACCATCTTGGAATAACCCCATGACAGTATAAAATAATCGTTGTATGAGGTAAATGTTCTAGACAGTGCATGGCTTGCATTAAATTAAAATGCAAAAGAGATACTTTCTCGAAAGCAGAAGCAAAGAGAGAGAGAGAGATCTAATCGTGTTGAAGGCTCTTGAGAAATTTATGGCAAACTTACACGACTAGAGCTCTTTTCAACTACTCCTTCTCTATTAAATAACTAGTTCACTCATTCTGTTTCCTCCCCATATATGCTAACCTCACTTTCGACATCTATAACAATATCAGACTTGTCAACCTTCACTTCACCTCCCTCATTCTCTCCGTCATAGCCATACACATCTCCATAAAGTCCCTCATCATTTTCTTCAAGACCCCCTTTCTCTTCTTTCTCTTCTACTTCGTTTTCAAAATCGGTATCATCTTCGTCACTTCTAACATCCTCGGCCCCCACACCAATGATTACCTTATAAGCAACTTTTGAGATTAAATACATCCAGATACAAGTAATGATTTGTAACCCACCTAGCAACCCCATAAACGTATTGATTACAGTAGGTGTCCAGCATCTTTTTTGGTCAGTTCCGGGCACACATTGCCCATCTTTCATCAAATGCAGTGATTTATACCACGCATGATAGAATATATAGTTGTAAACCCCATGTCTTAATCCAATCCAACTGACTAAAAACAACACAAACATGGCATCACAGGCAACTAAACGACCAGCATATTTCAACATCTTAGCAGCAGCCAAAAAGATGTCAACTGAATCCATAATCATCAATATCAAATGACCAATTCGGAAATAGTAGTAGTAGTAGGATCCAATAATCAATAAACAAGTGATGATATGATGGCTAAACATTTGATAGTGATCTTTTCTTGGTTTTTCAACGTGTAAGACAAATATTTGTTGTAACCAAAACGCCATTGAAATCAAGTAATAACTTTTGAACCTCGCATCCATAAGAAAATTGGGCCAATTGATATAGATTTGATCTAAATTGTTGTAATATGGGGCACCCAAATACAAGTAAACTCCATAAATGAATGAAATACTATAGTAAACAAAGGACCAACTCTGTTCAGCAAATCTTATTTTGGCTTTGCGAGAATAAATATGACAAAATTTAGCAGCAAAAGGACCAAAACAATACTTCATTAAAAACGATCGGAGAAAAGTAACAGTAATAACCCAATTGATGACAAAGTATACATCATCTATGTGGATATCATAAATAGGGTTGCCTTCCAGATTATACCCAACTTGGTTTTGTAAATGTATAAACTTGTTTGTGAAATTGGTGATCCTAGGATTAGAACTCAACCAGTTCATAGCATATAATAAAAACATCAAGTTCCTTGACAATGGAATTTGGTTTCTTTCGACTTTTGCCCATAGTGACCCATGATATTTCTGATCTTCAGCAAATTGAATCGTGTCATCTGTCTCGACATTCAAGACATCTTCATTTTGTTGTTGTTGTTGTTGTTGTTCTGTCTCTTCGTTATCATTGGAGTCACCACCAACCTCTTTTAGCTTGTATGACTTGGTATTTATTCTAAACGACTCGTGGGTATCACTGCCCAGTCGACTAGGACTTCTGCTAGTTTTTATTTTTGTCAGTGTCGCCATTTTTTATCTCTTTCCACCTGCTTTTCTTCTTGCTTAAGAGATACTTTTTCTTGAGATCTTGTTATCCTGGCCCAAGATCTGGGATATCGATGAAGACTGGTGTTTTGATTTGAAAGGTGTCTCTGGTTTCCTTTTGGTTACCAGTCTTTAAATCTAAAAAAAGAAAGAAGGATCTACGGTCTGTTTGAAAGAATATTTTTTTTCTTTTTTTTTTTTTTTTTTGTTTTTGGTTTCCCCTGTCTCTGTTTTGTTCTGTTATGTATGTGTATGCGTATGTTCTGCCCTGTCGTGTCTCCTTCTTCCTCTTTGTTTCCCACGAAAGCTCAGCCTAAAGAGACCAACAATTTTTTTTTTTTACATTTTTTTTCACCCAAAAAGACAAAAGAGAAAGTGGCTGTCATTGCCGTAGCCTGAAAAGAAAAAAAACGCCTCTTTGTGCGACTTGTGTTGCTCAGCACTGAATATGTATCAATCTGCATTGGCTTAAGTGTCTTTTGTCACTATATAATGTGCATTATACACGTCAAACTAACCTCTGTTGGTCAGTCTCAGCTGTATTAATTTATGTTTGATTCGCCTCATATTATTGCGCGTGTAAAAATATTATTTTTTTATTTTTCTTTATTTCTCCCACTCTTTCTAAAAACAGACACGTTGCATCAAAGATACGAGATTTTATCTTTAGTGCACGCCTTTTCACATATCTTGAAAAGGAGATTCTATATTACAGAAATTTACATACTCACCTATACGCAATACACGTGTTGCTGTTTCAAATGTAACTACAATAGTCATACATCTTTTTTCATTCGACACGACTACCTTTATGTCTGCGTGAAAATGTGCCCACGCACACGCGTGTCTGTCTGTATAGAAACAATGTTATTTTTAGTAACTTCTCCATTGGTTAAAATTATAATACAACCAAACGGAAAAAATAAAAAAGCCAAATTAGGTAATCCGTATTATAACCAATGCAAAAAGAATACCAGTCGGATCAAGTGGGAAAGTATAAAACTTGCCTGCATGCAGATGCATTCACCTTCAGTTGCTGTGTCATCTCTTCCACAACATTACTTGCAATGCCTTCCTAACTGACTGCTCGTTATACCTATTCCACAATACGTATACATTGACCATGTCCTGAACTGCTTCAACAATTTCATCAAGATTAATATGCGAATGTTCTAGGAAATTCATAAACTTGTTTATTCTAATTGTCTCTTCGTCTAATATGTCCAAGTCGAAATTAACCAAGTCCTGTGCTGTGTGGTTTGACTTGGTTGTTTGCTGATGATGTGTCTGGCTTACACTGCCTCGTTGTTGGTGACTTGTAGACTGTGCATTATTACCATTTTTCAGTGGCGACACCTCTGTCGACTTTGCCATGTCCCCATTCTCTTGGCTACTAGGCTTTGATAAATTCATCAAATCATCAATATTCAATTCTTTATTAGATGTGCTCTCGCTCCTGTCGAAAGCACCAGCAACAGTGGTATCGGGTCTGTTACTGTTTGGGTTTTGCATGTAACCTGAGTGTGAAATACCGATGTCCACACTGGTTGAATTGCGATTGGTAGAGTTACCCACTGCACCTCCGCCAATATCCTCTTTATTCTTTAACTGCGACATGTTTTTCTTCAATACTATGGTAATATAAATTGCGGCAATGGCAATTATATGTGGTGGCAACAACAAGTGCAAGTCTGTAATATAACTATCATTAATCAAACTCCAAGAATTTTGTAGCTCCTCATCCGTCAACTTGAAACCATACACATCATACTTCTGTTCGAAATAATGCTTTAACTGTAAGAGCGATTTATATGGATGGTGCAATAACAAATACAGATTCATTTCTTCAATCAAATAGAATTCAAATTCCGCCAATTTGGTGACATCTTGCGGTATATACTCTGGCCATAAATTTCTTGCCTCCAGCACAATCAAACGAATATGTTGCGGGCATTCTTCTATTTTACAAGCCACGTATAGACAAGTGGTGACGAGTAAATAAACATTAATCTCTTTTAAACTGACTCGAGTCAAGAATCGCATGAGGTAAACCTCTGCCGTGGCAATGGCAACTTGTCGTACATTTAATCGACGCCCTAGCTTAAGCATTAAGTTGTGAAGATATATTCGCATGTTATAATCGTAGTTTATGTTTGGGTAGTCTTTTATAAGTCCGTTTTGAACCATTTTACGTTCAAGATAAATGACCTTCCTTCTGGCTTCAAGTAGGGTGTACCTTGTGAGTTGCCATTGATTTCTCTGCGATGAACTCCAATAATCTGCTGACATTACAAGTGGATGGGGTATATCTATGTGTATTAGTGGTTCACCTAGAAAAGAATAGGATGGTGATGATGAAAATGCTAATCCAATTCGAATGTGCCTAGATCAAAAGCAAAAAAAGAATGCAACCAAAATTGGTTAAGGAGAAAAATGCATCGCTACCACTTTGATTTACTTCAAAGTGTTGTAAAACCTACAATGCTTAACCATTCGATACAAGAGAGGGTATCAATTAAAGTCATAATTCACATATATAAAAGGTATCAATACCTCATTTTCAGAACTAAACCAAATCATAAACGTCTTTCTAAATCATAAATAAATTCAACTGCATCAAGTTATTATTTGCCTTCACTTGGCCAATTTCAGAACCACCGTTGCAACATCATAGACAAATATCTTTTCATTAGGATCATTTATATCATCAAGTAATTTCCCATTAGGATACTTTTTAAGTAAACTGTTGACATCCGTTTTGCTGGTGATTAATTCAAATTCATTTTGGTTTTTGGGGATGAATAATGATTGAGCCCCGTTGAGAGCTAGTAAGCCAACCAAAGCATAGTTGAGCAATTGCATGTTCGTGTTTCGTGGAAGAGCTTGTGGGGTATCTATTTGTTGAGTTTGTAGACTATAGTCAATACGGAAACTGTGTTGTGTGTGTTATCCAGGTTTTGGTGGGTAGGGGAATCTACTTTTTACAACGATGTGATACGTGCACTTAGATATATATATATATATATATATATAAGGAGGATCTCACGATGATACTTATCTGTAGAGCATACATCTAGGTACAGTAGGAAGATAATTTTAGTAACTGTTGCTATCAAGAATTACCCAATTAGGAAATTTAATTAAAAGGAGAAGCCAAAAAAAAGAAAAGAGGGTTCTTTGCAAACAAAACTTAGTGTCATGAAAATATGCGACAATGAATGACGCAGTTGACAATATCAATGTCAGTGGCAAGTAAGTGACTTGGAGTGACGTAAGAAACTGTTCATTATGGATATAATGCTCCTGTTAACTTTGTTTATTATTTATTCAAACGAAAATGAAAAAGAAATAGAGTATCTTAACTTATGGTGATCATTTTAATTCAATTGGAAGCCAAATTAAGTATACTTCTCAAAAGAGAGCAATCTCTTTAACTTGTGACAACAACATCAACACAAATCTGTTCCATCATACAAGCCAATCGCTTCAAGAAGGCACTTCTCCGTTTCCCTTACCCCCATTGCTCTAATGTTGCAAAAAAAAAAGTCGTGCACTGTCATCGCCAACCCTGATCCAAAATCTACGCACGCTCTCGTTCCTATAATAAACGGACCCAACTAAAATTATTAATCACCCAATATTTAATACAAAGATCTGTTTTTATCATTGTCAATTCAAAGTCCACCCACTGTCACTCCTTACTCAGACCATATACACAAGTTAAATAGCCCCAAGCTAATGCCACCACCAGCTCAGAAAAACTTCCACACCGCGAAACCAGAAGAGTCTACGGCAATTGACCGGTCGATACCTGAATTTGCAGCAGCACAAACGTCGGATGAGGATGATTATTTCGCCAACCATAGTCCCCCATCGTATCTACCAGAAATAGAACAGGAATTGTCCAAATTCATCAGTCATCATCAACACCATACGCATAAAAAGATTGCCTTGGTGACTTCAGGAGGTACTACTGTTCCATTGGAGAATAATACCGTTCGATTCATTGACAACTTCAGTGCTGGTACTCGTGGAGCCACATCGGCCGAGTATTTCTTGGAGAATGGATATGCTGTCATTTTCTTGCATCGTGAATTCTCATTGTTGCCTTATTCAAGACATTATAGTCATTCAACCAATTGCTTTCTTGATTTTATGATTGAACGTGATGGTAAAATTGAAATCAATCCTAAATTCAGTGATGAAATGTTGCAAGTTTATCGTAAATACCATGAAGCCCAGTCAACAAATTCATTATTGTTGATTCCATTCACCACGGTTAATCAATATCTTTATACATTGAGAACTATATCGGAAACATTGAAAGTTTATTCCAATAAGGCCCTCTTTTATTTAGCTGCTGCCGTCTCAGATTTTTTCATTCCTCAATCAAGAATGCCGCAACACAAGATCCAGAGTTCAGCAACCAAGGACGGAGAGTTGGTAATTCGATTAGCTCAAGTGCCTAAATTCTTGAGTCGGTTGGTTCTGAACTGGACTTCAGGAGCCATGATTATAAGCTTCAAATTGGAAACCGATAACAATATATTATTGAAAAAGGCTAAAAGTGCATTGGAGAGATATCATCATCAATTGGTGATTGGCAATTTGTTGCAAACGAGGAAGAAGGAAGTAGTGTTTGTAAGTCCTCATGCTAAAGAACAATGGGTTCGCTTGACCGATGATGAAGTTAAACTGGGAGTTGAAATTGAAAGTAAAATGATACCTGCAGTTATTAAATTACACGATGAGTGGATCAATGAAACAAAGTAACGCATTTGCAAAAGAATGAGATGTGAGATAGCATATGATTCTCTATGTATGTAGATATATATATATACAAAGTAAATTAAAGAAACAGCCCACTCTTCTTTTTCACTTGTTTCTCTTTTTCTACTTACAAGAAAGAAACCCCAATACCGTATTGGATCCCTTTTCTAATTGAATCACGCTCATTTGCTAATATTGGTAGGACAAAGTTCAACTCAAATCTAGCCATGGGATGATTATACAAAATCCCCAATCCATAACTTAAACAATACGAATGAGACAATTGTTTGAAATTGTTCCAAATGGACTGATCATAATCTAGCGATACTAATTTACCCCAATTGATAAAATTATGGAATTTGAAATTCGATTCCTTATACCTTGGCACGTCAGTGAATAATGAAACACCACCATTAAGGAACAAGTCGCCACCAACAAATGAATTCTGATCTCGTGGTCCAAGTCCATTCAAAGTAAATGACCTCACATCGTTTGGACCACCAATATAAAACCGATCCAAGAGGGACGATTTGCTAGTCAAGGGGTACAAAAGTCCCAATTTCGTACTGGTCAACACATGCGAATTGATAGAAGGCACACTCCAAGCGTGTTGGATTTGAGTTGCCGTCTTCACAAATGGATACTTGTTCAAACGCAGTAACCCGTTATATTCAATTCCCAACTGGGCAAATGACCCTTTAAATGGAAGATGTTTACTATTTCGCGAATCGTAGTTGATATTGTATGCAATTGAAGATTTGAGACTCTGACCGCATTGTTGCATAATTGCAAAACTCTTTGATCCATAATTATCCAAATTGCGGATGGAATTTTCCAAAATCAATTCATGATTTAATTTACAGTTGTTAAACTGGGTATGGATTTTATTAACCAAGCTCTTGGTGTGAACTTTACTCTGAATCCAATCTAAATTCCTCGTATTGAAACTGAGTGAGTTCTCCCAAACATAATCACAATTGTTGAAAAGAGGTTGATTGTAATTGATCAAGTATGAACTCGACGTCTTTGTCCCCGTTATGGCATCAAATACAAGGTTTTCACCCCCACCAAAAATGTTACGTAATTGAAATTGAATGTATCCATCACCTTCTCCATTACCAATATTAGTGCCCGTTTTGGCAAAAAAGCGCTTTATGGGTATCGTGTTGAAGATAGGTACCACATGAATCGCGCCAGCTCCCGAAGCGACACCCCGTGGAAGTCCAACCAACGATGTTTTAATATTGGGCCGAACTTGATGCGTGTTACATAGTATATTCTCAACAACGCCAATTTTCATCAAGTTTTTCAGAATATTGTCAACAATGGACAAGTACTTTTGCAATGCAAGTACTTCACCAGTAAGCAAAGGCTGGAATTGAGATTCAACAAACGAATCGCGAAATTGGGTTCCATTGGTTAATTGGACATTTCTTATCTTGATTGGCTGAGATGAGTTTTCTTGAAATAGATTTTGTAAAAATTGGTTATTTTGATCCAAGAGTTGTTTTTGTTTTTGTTGTTGCAAGCTGTTCAAATCCTTTTCTGCTTTTGTTAATGCCTTTTCCGAGAGCTGGTCGGGTGTGGCGTATTTCATATTATCCATAAACTCTTCATCTTGGCCAACGATTGACATTGTGGAAACATAGATGGTCCAGTAGTGATACCGTCTTAAGAGATTTGTATTTTTTTTTTCTTTTTTCTTCTTTCACACATCTTGAACCCTTCGTAATCATTAAAACATAAACAATAATACAAGTTATATAGAACAGCATAGAAAACCTTTTCACTCTTTCCCTCTAGAAACCTACTCGGGTGGTGAAATCGCTACATGGGGAACCAACCCACGTCCAGTTGACGACGAATCAGGAGATAAAAAATGATTAAGATTAGTACTTCCTGCTGAATCAACCGAAGACGGTACACCTCCATTCCTCTTTTCCTCCTCTTCTTCCTCAATCAAGAGACGAATACACTCTTTACCAGCCTCAGTTTGGAAATGTCGCCTTAGTGCATCAGCACGAGCAAATTTTCGTCCGCATCCATACGGTTGACCACTCTTCAACATTCCTTTACATTGGTATTTTTTCTCACCGGAATGTAAATCCTCATGCCGTTTCCGATCGTGTTGTCTAGCAAACGCTTTGCCACATTGGCTACAAATAAATGGTCTTTCATCGGTGTGTGTGCGCAAATGTGACTTCAAATTGTACGGCCTAGTGAATCGCTTATCACATAAATGACAGGCATAAACACTGGGGTGCTTTTGGGTGCGCTTCGAAGATTGATTCGGCAGTGCCAATTCCAACATCTTCTCACGAGATGACACTTGCGACGAGCCGTCGGCGTTCTCCCCATCTTCCTCTTCGTCGCTATCATCACCATGATCATCTTGATCACTATAGTCGCCGTTAACACTTTTGTTTGAAACAGGGGACTTTGAACGAGGTCTAGGAGACAAGCTGTTTGATGACTTTGATGCATGGCTCTTTCTCCTTCCGCGCTTGATTGACTGGTACTCAGGATTCAACAAGTCCTTTGAACTTTCCTCTCCACTGACAGAGTTTGGCGATGAAGGGATAATTTGAGAGTTTGGCACAAGGCTTGAACTGGCCCGTTTTTCATTCTTTATATCCCCTTCATTTCGGCTATTCGATCTTGACAAGTTTACCGATGAATTGGCCGACGAGTTACTAAACAACGATGGTGTTTTTGCTGCCATGACCTCAGGAGCTTGATGGATTGATATCACGATACCCGATGAATCTTTATCCACGGTCACACCTTGTTCATCGGTTTGTTCCTGTATCTGGTTATTATAAGTTGACAAGTTGTTCTCAGTAAGTAATTGATTTGCATCATCAGATTGTCCATTACCAACACCCCCTTTGATAGTGGAGTTTTCTTGAAACTTTGAGTCTCCATGTTCTGGAGGAGTAACCTTGATATCAAGATCGAAGTCCATTTGCGGACTACGGAAAGTAAAGTGATTAGGATCCGTTTCAGGTTGGGCATTGACATTGTTGAGTTGAAGATTCTCCTCAAAAGGATCTTGCTCTTTTTTAATATATGGTTGCGAATCCAACTGAAACTCTCTGGGGTATTCCATTCCAGCTCCAAATTCTAACCCATTAAACTCTTCTCTTTGAAGATCAGCTTCAATAGTCTGTTGCCATGCATTATTCGAAGAGGAAGATCCACTAGCCAAATTAGTTGAACTGATCGATTCACCAAAAGCGATGTCGGTGTTTAAGTAATCGTTATTATTGCGGGGTTCAAAGTGGTTCTGAGCCAAGTTTGTTGAAGAATTTCCACCATGTATTGAGCCAGCATCGGAAAATGCAGGACCAGGAACTTGAGGAGGTGCCAAATTGGTGTTACTGAAATGGGATGCTGCATCTTGATATGGGGAGGCTGGCTGCGACGAATTGTCAGAATACAATGACTGCGAGGAAAAATGACCTGGTGAGTTTGGGTTGAGAAAGTTGTTATCCACATGATTTTGTTGTTGCACTTGTAAAAAGTCATTCTGTTGGGGGTTACTAGGCGAAAGATGGCTTACTTGTGAAGCTGGTGATAAGAAGTTGTTGTCGTTAAACTGGGGCAAGTCTTGCGTGTCTAATGATAGCCCGTTACCGCCTGGACCGCCGCCAGTATTGACAATGTTTACATTTTCACCATACTGCCGGCCCATCTGTTCTAGCTGGGCATAATCATAAGAAGCTTGTATATCGTTTTGCTCTGCAGGATTTGCGTATGCATTATGATAACCAATGTCTGAGTATGTGTCTTTTACATTGGGTTCCGGCAAATCCAGGTATTGTTGGTAATTTACACTAGCATTCTGGTTTTGGAATTGTCTTTGGTTGTATTCCTGGACATCTATAGGATTTGGTTGTAGCATATCACTGTCTAGTTGAAAATTGTTGATATCAAAGCCTTGTGGAGATGTATGTAGTTGATGGTATACCTCATCATCTCTTCGTAAATGAGGATTGTATGACATTATGTGTGTGTTATAATACCTCCGCTTTGCAATATATCAGCTTGTATTGGGATATAGCAATAGTTTTGCGATGGGTATCAATAATGTAGTTGTATTAGCTTGCCGCGATAGCAATGAAGGGTCTTTGTAAATGATTAGTTGTAGTTACTTTTTGAAGATGGATACACACAAACACTGCTTGGTTGTAATTGAATTTTGAACTTGAAATTATTTTTTTCCCTTTTTTCTCTCTCTCTCTCTCTGTCTGTCTCTCTTTTTATTGTGTTATTGTTCTGTCTGTCTTTGTCATAAAATTATTTCAGTGTCTTAAATTTTTTAAGACACACAAAATAAATTGCAAATGATTTTATTTTAGAATAAAGGAATAAAGATACACAAGAAGATGACAAATTGACCTTTTGAATAGATCTAAGAAGTGATAAATTTCTAGTATAAGTAAGTCTAACTCAATTAAAATATCCAACACTAACTTCATACTACTGATAAGTTGGGATAGGTGACTATATTTATAAATAAGAGCCATTCTTGGTGGTAGAATATTATAAAGCCGATTAGATGACTCCTTTAGTACATATGTGGCGTTACTAATAATAATGAAATAACCAACCGTGTTTTAGTTTAAATGTTTATTAAGTCTATTCAATGGATAAGGTTGATGTTTTGTAAGTGGTAGATATTGATCATGTCATTAAAGCAGTTGTTAACAAGGCGCAGCTTTTAGACCTCAATGACAGAAAAATAATAAACATTGTTCAGTTACAACTACACAGTTACACAATAACCAACCAACGAGCAATACATTGCACAATAATAACAATAACAACAGACTCTTTCGTCAAGACTGGTCCTTACTAACCCGGTCATTTGAAACTGATATTAAGAAAGACCCCAAAAATCTATCAGGGTGGGTGCATGAACTCATAAACAAAGATTTACAAAGAAAAATATGTAAATTCTGGTCAATTGATAAAGGTTGATGTCTCAAGACTAAGTGTTAAAGCCCTTTTCAAAAGAGAGACAATTCAGGGGGAGGCTACACACCAGGCAACCCTTTAGGAATCTGTATCATAGAGAGGGGCTTCAATAAAGATCTAGACTTTTTTCCAATATTTCGAGGTGTTCGCTTATTTGGTACTGTTAATGGTCTAATGAATGCCAGTGTTGTATCTCTTTATACAGCCTCATTATGTAAAATCCGTGAATCGTTTATTACCGATGCATTTACGAACTAAAAAAATCAAATATACAATAGCTCTTCTTGGTTTATATACAGTATAGAAAGCCCTAACAGTTTTCACATAAATCCGAAATTCATGAATGACTCGTACAACGTACGTTTGAATTGATACGGTGTTGCTATTGTTCATATTTCATCTCCACATTTCTATTCATGTTCAATGACAACGTCGAAAACCGCGTGCCACACATCCGGCGCAAACGTCTTTACCTTTTCTATATGTATGACTCTGCTGTTATCATATTTAGATTCTATCTCATTCTTCATGTTATCAAAATCATCAACGTGAACATTTTCATGCACGTGAACTAGTGTAGGCAAATTTGACATTGACTTTTTGGCAATCAAATTATTAGCTATGGACCAGCTTGGTTTTGAAGTTGGTAGTAAGCCTAGGTTAATGTGGCTTATGTTCATACTGTTATCTCTCGCCTGTTCAAGTCTACTAGGTATAACTTCATTGCTCTCTAAGAAAATACACGCATCGTATTTTGCAACATCATCAATTACAAAGGGTTCATTCGTATGGTAAATCTTGTACTTGTAACCACCATGCTCCAAACTCCGCCTGAACCCTTCAATTGACCATGGATTCAACTCCCAACATAAAACCTTGGCTCCATTTTGCAAATAACTTAGAGAAAAGTAACCAATACCGCAGTAGAAATCAAACACAATCGTTCCCTTCAATCTTGGGTAGTTGTCCAAGATTCGTTTCTTCTCCTTAATGTTGCCTCTTGAAAACATGGTGTATCTTGGGGCCCACGTTTGCAATATACCATTCTGTACCGCCAGGCACCAAAATGCCTGATTGAAATCCTCTTCCGTTGGTGATTCATTGACACCAATGTCGGGACCAAAATCCCCATATACTGGCACCAAGTTTGTAGGTCGCCTAAGAATATCGGACTCCACAATAGGTCTATTCAAGGCAACATGTGTAATACCTTTGTTACCAAACACCGCTTGATAATGTCGAAGCAAGTACTTGCAAAATTCACTGGGTAAAGTATCATCAGTATTAGCACTTAATAGTAACATTGGTGGATAAGCTGTCCATCTTTTTGGAACGTCAAAGTACGCTACATTGTTCTCACTGCAGTAGTTATCACGAGCAGCAGTTAGCGATTGAACAGACTTTTCCTCCAAGTCGTAACGGTCCCATTGGGTATGCGATAGTACTTGTGGAATGGTTTCCAACGTAGTGTAGATGTGGAAAACCCCATCATTTTTCTCTATCTTGTGAGACTTGTTTAACCATTGATTTTCCTCGAGTAAAGTCTTTATACGCTTTATATCCTGTGCATTGGATATGTTTAATCTGATCATATGAAGGTGAGTGTGAGCGTGTGAGTTTGTGAGTGTGTGTATTTATTGCAATCTTCCTCAATGAGATGTTTAGTTTGACTGGTTGGTAATTTCTGCGACATGCAAAAACAATTTGCGACACCAACTACGTGGACGAATTTTTTGTATTTTTATATATCCTCATAAAGCAAGAAAGTGCTAGAGTAAGAGTGAGCGTAAGAGAAAAAAAAATGTTTTTTTTTTCAACGACAAAGAAACAACGAACATTTTGCCCAACACTTGTGGTTTTATATAAACACAACAGAACAATATCATATTGACATTCTGTCTCCTCAGCTATACATATAGCCTTTGCATATTTCATAAATTGATTTGGATAGAATTCTTCTTTGTCATACATAGTTACTAATCCGATAGATAAAAAAAATCACGTCTGTTTCAATTGAATTTCAACGCATATATTATTTGTTACGTCTCGATCCACACTCAATTTCGAGGGCATAAGAACCAGGGTTATTACAGCACACATAGACACATTCATCCTTTGATTCCAGTTATTTCAATTCTTTAGATTGCATTCCTACAACTAGCCTCCATCACACTAGCATCGGCACATGTCAGAAAATAACGAACAGACAGAAGCGGCACAACAAGTCAAGAACACTGAACAACAACCTTCCACTACTGTTCCTGAGCCCACACCTGCCAATGAACAGGAAAACAAGGTGGCCGATGATGATCAGCCACAACCTGAGGCAGGGGATGAGTCCTCTCAGGAACCACCAGTGACTCCTGCTTCTGCCATAGAAGGTGGACGTGAAACTTCCAATAGAATATTGTATGTCGGCAACTTACCCAAGTCGGCGTCCGAAGAACAAGTTAGTGAATTATTTTCGGTTTCTAAGCCTGTCAAGAGCATAAAGTTGCTAAATGATAAGAACAAGCTTGGGTTCAATTACGCATTTATAGAATTTGACGACAATCAAGATGCCGATATGGCATTGAGCACTTTGAATGGGAAGTTACTAAACAATTGTGAAATCAAAGTTAATTGGGCTTACCAGTCGGCAACAATCGCCAGTACTAGCACTCCAGAAGATCCTACGTATAACATCTTTGTTGGAGATTTGAGTTCAGAAGTCAATGACGATGCATTGAAGAAAGCGTTTAACAAGTTTGACTCATTTAAAGAGGCACACGTGATGTGGGATATGCAAACATCGAGGTCTCGAGGATATGGGTTTGTCACTTTTGGTAAGCAAGAGGATGCTGAATTGACCCTCCAAACCATGAATGGAGAATGGTTAGGTGGTAGAGCCATTAGATGTAATTGGGCATCACATAAACAAGCAAACAACCGTAGCGGAGGCAATGGTGACTATCATAACCTGTATGGACACAATGGGTTTAGGAACCACAACAATACAAACAATAGCCGTTATAATAATCGACAATTTAGACCATATTCACATAATGGCAAAAATTTCAATAATAGCATATACCCACACCATTTGAACAGTAATCTGTTTTCGCCACCCAATGGTCTGCCAGCACATGTGGCTCCTGGCTTAAATGGCTTGATATTGCCAGATTTGAATGCATCGAATGGCAACTTGCCGCAATTGGGTTCTCAACAGCCAGCAATGATCAACTCTCCGCCAAATGGCCTTAATGGCAATGCTCAACAAGCTGGAAACATTACGGTAATGTCGCCACAATCATACGATATAGTATTGAGACAAACACCATCTTGGCAAACTACAGTTTATTTGGGCAACATTGCCCACGTGACGCAACAACAGGAAATAATTCCCTTGTTGCAAAATTTTGGATTCATTGTTGATTTTAAATTCCATCCGGAAAAGGGTTGTGCTTTTGTTAAATACGACTCTCATGAGAGAGCAGCGTTGGCAATAATTCAACTAGCTGGGTTCAACTTGAATGGCAGACCATTGAAATGTGGATGGGGTAAGGAGAGGCCCCCTCAGTACCAGAATAGAAATGTGTCACAGGGTTCTTCGTATGGAGGACGGTCGTAGAGAAAAAAAAAGGGAATATATAGTGGTGTGTATACATAGAGAAGAGAGGATAAATTGTTTAATCAGGCCTATTGTAGGAATTGATTCCTGTTATTCTGACTCTGTCGTGCCTTTTGGTTTACTGTGGGAAGGGGAAATCCCACCAAAAGTTTGATGGAAGACGAAGAAAAAAAAAATTATGAAAAAAGTAAATGTCAAAAAATCTGTCATCATCGAATTGCAAAGTTTATTCACAGGTTTATAATATCGTTACAAAAGGATACTATACCATAACTGAGCTTCATTTTTCAGATACATTAATATATAGGATCCAGACAAAGTTGAAAAAGGCTGAAACAAAAAAGCGTCGTTACTCAATCAATCAACGCTCTTTCTTATTTGGCCAGTTTCATAAAAAGAGCATAGTATTCCAATACATGTTTATATCTACACCCACTCGATTGCTATTAATCTTATTGCTAAATTTTGTCGTTATAAACGAGTTGGTCAAGTTGTCGTTGTTCAAGTCAAACAAAGTATTAGCCACTGCATCCACTTCGCTCTTGATTTTCCTATCCTTATATTATTTATCAACATCAGTGTTTAATTTGAATTTAACTGATTCGAAAACTACATCGTCCTCAGAAACCTGGCAAAAATATATTCCGTTCAACATCCCCCAGCTATTGCATAAAGCTATGAATTCATCATCACGATTTGGAAGAACGGGGATTAATCGATTCAATAGAAGAAAAAGCAAAGAACAGAAATTTGCAATCGCTAATGGTGGTGAGGTTGGAGGTATTAGCAATGACGGAAATACTTGTTTTATGAATTCAGTTATACAATCATTTGCGTCATCGCGACAATTTATGAAATTTATTGACTCGTATCTTTATTCCGAAATTGAAATTGATACAAATGGCCAAGGGGAGAAGATTTGCATGAAATCCAACCAACCAAAGCCGGAATTACCATTCACCACAGCATTGAAGAAACTATTGGATAGTGTTAACGGTAAATATGGCTCGAGAGGTAAAGAATTCTCGACAAAGCCGCTCTTGAATAAGATGCCCAATGGTCCAAGACAAAACTTTTTCAGTGGGTATAATCAAGAAGATGCCCAGGAGTTTTACCAATTGATTATGAATATTTTGGAAAAGGAATTTAAAAAGATTAGCCAGAGTAGATTGCCTACGCCCGAGCCAGAAGGTGAGAACAAGGAAGAACACAAGTTTCAAGATGCTCGCAATTTGAAGGAGATCATTTCTGGGTGCAACAAGTTGGGTAAATTGGGCGTTGTCTATGTCCCAGCAGCGCAAGTTGATCCTAATTTAGCCGATGCAGAACACAAGGTTATGCCATTAGAACTTATTACGCCTGTTGATGGAATCTCTTGTGAACGTATTGGCTGTTTGACATGTGGTGAAGTTGGTGGTATACGGTACGCCGTGACTAGTGGATTAAGTTTGAACTTGCCGCAGAACCAATCATATTATTCTAGTTTTAAATTGTCTCAATTGTTGAATGAATGGATCACACCGGAGATTATTGATGATGTCAATTGTAATCGATGTGGGTTGTTGCAAACACAGAAGTTTCTCCTTGGTACCATCGATGAACTTGAAAAGAAGGAGAATGATAATACGAAATTGATTGTCCAGATTAAAACCAGATTACAAGCTATCGAGTTAGAGCTAGCTAAACATCAAGTCACCGATGAAGCATTTGAAAAATTGACGGTAAAGAAACAAATTAAAAAGAGTAGGAAATCGAAGCAAATCTTTTTGGACAGACCACCACCTTTGCTTAGTATACATATTAATCGATCTCAATTTGATCCTAAAACGTACATGGTTGTTAAAAATCCAAACAATGTCACATTCCCCGCGGTGTTGGACTTGTCTCCATACATTGTTGAACCCAATCAGATAAATATGGATGCGAGATTGCCATTTAGAAAACAGGATGAGCATTTAAAGTATCCCAATGGGGACATGGATGATGTACTGATTAGTGGAGGAGATCGCTTTGGCAAAGGAGATAGCGAAAGTTTATCTCCACCTTCGACTTCAGCTGAGACATCCGTGCCTAGTGATGGGCTTGTGTCTCCTAATGGTACAGCTGTAACAACGGCTGAGCAACAACCCAATCCGAAGTTGTTGTATAATTTAAAGGCGGTAATTGTTCATTTTGGTACCCATAATTATGGTCATTATATTTGCTACAGAAAGTTGAGAGGAACTTGGTGGAGAATCAGTGACGAATCGATCTATGTTGTCACTGAAGCTGAGGTTCTTGGCGGACAAGGCACATTTATGTTGTTTTATGAATATAATGATGGATATGTTGAGGTTTTGCAAGATGTATCTGACGATGAGGAAGAGGAAACCAATGGGACAATTAACGGCGGTGTTGTAAATCAGACTCAACCTGTTTCAAGTCCAGAAGAAGGAGCAAAGGAGAGTGATAGTGATAGTGGTATTGATAGTGATGAAGAGGTGAGTGGCTCTGACAATAGTGATTCCAAATCTGCAGAACCAACCTTGGGCAATATAGTGGAGACTGAACACCATGAAGATGTTGGCAAGTTGACAACATCAGCAGCATCACTTTCTTCGGATGTGTCTATGCGTGATGATGATGAGGATGATGGGTCAAAAGATGACCAAGGTTTCAATGTAGCCGAAGCACAAGTGCATTTATAGTGGAAGCATAAAAAATCAGTGTTGAAGAAGGGTGTAGTGTTTATCCGCGCCTTCTAGGTCCTTATCCAGAGATGTATTTAGTTCTTGATTTATTTAATTTGCATAGCTAGAATAGTCTATCGAAAGAGAAAGTTTTCTGATACTAAACATTTTGTAAAGTTTGTGTTTATTTTTACTTTGATGCTCATCGAAGTTTACACTCCTAAGCAGCAATGGCTCGTAAATTAAAAGGAAAACACATTACATCAAAGGGTCTCAAAGGATCACTAGCTCGACTCAAAGTACAAGACCAACTTAATGCCAAGTCATTAAAGAATGCCGAAACGGATAAACAAAACCAGATCAAGAAACAGAAATCAATAACGACATCAAAAAAGCAGAAACGCAATAATGCCAAACAAGCCATAGTCCCAAAGGGATTTATGCCATTTAAAATAGACGATACAGTTTTGCTTATAGGAGAAGGAGATTTTTCATTCGCCAAATCATTAATTGTGCAGAATTTCATCTTGCCCGAAAACTTGATTGCCACAAGTTACGATTCGGCTGATGAAGTTCGGGCCAAGTATCCTGGAGTAGAAGACACGCTAGCGCAATTGAAATCGGAGGGCGTACGAATTATACACGATGTGGATGCAACTGACTTGCCAAAGACTTTGAACTTGACTCTCAATTCAAAACAACGTCGTAGTTTGAGTAAAGTCAAATTGTTCCCCGATGGACGTCGATTACGATATATTATGTTTAATTTCCCTCACACGGGGCTGGGAATCAAGGACCAAGATCGGAACATCAAACGACATCAAGAATTTATGGTGGCATTTTTCCAAAACTGCAATCGTGTGTTTGATTTAGTCAATGTTGCCAACCTAAAACATGATGATTTTGCCGGGTATAGAGACAACAACCAAGGTGACGCTGGAAGTGGAGGAGATGAAGATGGAAAGACACTTGTGAGTTTATTTGAAGGAGAACCGTACAATTCGTGGACTATAAAAGCATTGGCTAAAAACGAAGGATTAAAAGTTGCACAATCAGGTCGATTTGAATGGGCAATGTTCCCTGAATATCATCATAAACGTACCAATAGTGGGGCTAAAGACACTACTAAACCGGCTAATGAACGAGATGCAAGATTATACATGTTTGAGAAGTTTACTGCGCGAAGAGAAAAGAAACGTGAAAATGATTCTGACTCGGATTCTGATTAAGGTTAGGATTAGGATTGGGATTTAAGCTATGCAGGAAACACTCTTATACAATTATCAATGTAAAACACTTCATGGGTCAATGGATCCTTAACTTGTCCCTGACGTAACAACGTATTTTGTTCTGAGAAATATTCATCATTATTCACTGTTGTTGACAATAATTTATCAAATGGGTAGATATTTCCATTGGGTAGTCTGAAAGGATTGTTGAAAATACTAGTGATCAATTGTGCAAATGGCAAGTTTCTACTCAATTGAAACATTTCCGGTGAACAAACAGGGCAGTTGTTGACTTTATGAAGTAGTCTGTAGTAGTAATCAGGTCCCCGGAACTTGCGAATGGTTAATGGATTGGAGGTTGTTGTTGTTGTAGGAGTGGGTGCAGTATATGAATTGAATTTAGCTGATGTGATTAATATAGGAGTTTGTGTAGAAGGAAATCCATTATGGCTACCATTGTGATAATCATTATGCGGAACAGTATTCTCCAAAGCTGAAGTTTCCATTGAATCATCTTTGAAAACGGTATTTTCGTTATTGTGATAACACGATTTTGTTTTTAAACTAGACAATCCTGCCGATAGGTAAACAAACAAGGGATAGTTGTTGGTAATACCATATAGCTTGATAAAATTGTCTATAAAGCAATAACCTAGATCTTCCCATCGTTGATTTGAAAGTAGTTTCTCGTATTCACGATACGGTTGTGACTGAAACATTAATTTATTGGAAAATGCCAACATATTACTCAAAGGATTGCTGCTCATTGATCGATAAACTAGTAATCCTCCCAACCCTTTCAAACGGTCCAGGTTTAATTTATAATTGCCCATTTCTTCAACAGAATAGTTGTCTTTGTTACCATAGCTCGATAAATTATCTTGAGAAAATTTAATTGCTTCATTAACATCACCAACTTCAATCAAGGTCAAATATTTACAATAATTGATTTCAAATTCAAGATTGGAGTTGATTTTCTTAAGCGAGTTTTTATTCTCATTAAACCAGTTGATGATTAATGACAAATCATGGGCTTTTGTAATTGATAAATAAACCTTGTTAAAATCAAGAAACAAGTCAAAATCAATAAGTCTGCTTAATTTGGGGTTAGTCTTGGACAATGACTCAAGCAACTTGAGACCAAGATTTTCGGTGTCATTGGTATTTGATTTGATCAAGTAGTCGATTATCAAAAGGTTGGTTTCATTTCGGTACCAATTGATTAGATTAGGATTATGTAAGTTGAGTATGTGGTTTGTCTCCTCAACTGGTGGCGTATCTCCATCACTATTCTTGCCTTTTGTTTGGTCATCTAAGTTCGAGCTTTCGCCATTTATACAGTAGTTGCTCAACTGCACTATATTCTCCAACCTGGCAACCAATCGTAATCGGTATTCTTCGTCCTTCTTTATCAAAACTTGCAACTTTTTTTGAAAAGTCTCAAAGTTGTTAATCAACTTGCGAATCATTTCAAGTTGAATCTTGGTTGGTAGTTTGGAGTTCTTTTTGATCTTGGTTATTTCATCACTGGTTTGTTTCTTTTGCTTCTCAATTAGTTTTTGAATTGACTTGAAATTTTTTTTGATTAGTTGTGTAGGGATGTTGAATTGTGGTTGGTGGGTTTGTATGTGAAAGTCGATTGTAGGTTCAGTCATGATGGAGATGTGTTGCGGTGTTCTTTGTGTGCTATATGTATGTGATAAGATAAAGGTGGTGATTTTTGGGGGAATATATTTTTTGTGTGGATCACTTCTCTCTCCCTCGGTGTCACTTTTTTGTGTCAGTAGAAAGCGTATGACAGATTAACCAAAAGGGATCTGATGAAATAACAGTTTTGTACGGAGAGGAGTATTGTTTCGATAACAAGACTAAGAGTAGGAAGTGAGGCGAGGTTACTACACGAAAGTAAGGTCCTACAAACATCAAACTAAAAAGTTTACAATGGTTCTAACTCAATCTAAACTGAAACTAATTCGGCTTCTTCAACATTAACATCAACCGAGTCTGAGCCCTTTATCACCTCATTGTGCTCTTTCTTGTACGCCTTCTCCTTGTTCTTCTCTTTATATAAAGGATTGGTTTCATCAATTCTAATCTTGCCATCTTTCAATCCATAAAACAACTTTTCCAAGTAGTTTCCACCTTCATCAACCTCAGTCACATAAGCTCCATCGATTTCAATTGGATTGTACCTATCCTTAGGGAAATAAGGCTCAACAGCATCAACAAAGTCCTTGGCTTGGTGTTGGTTATAATAATGAAACAATAATGAATCACCCCGTTTAGCAACCAAATTGTTTTCCCATTCCTGTTGTTCCTCCACAGGTGGTAATTGCTTGGCACCTGACCAAACACCTGCCAAAGCAGCAGCACTAGCTTCAATAGTATGGAAATTCAATTGCGAAACAGTAATACCAACAGCTCCTAAAGTTGGTTCTTTTTGGTCAAATGTGTTGAGATACAATCCACCAACACGCGACAAGTTTCCGGGATTGACTAGTTTGAGATGGTCATCTTTGTGAAAGAAGGGAAAATGGTAGTGATAACCAGTGGAAAAGACAACCTTATCGTACTTACCAATTGATCCATCATGGAAATGGAATTCACCAGTTTTAGGATCAATGTAATCGATGGTACCCTTTGGCGTAATACCTTCGGAAACCAAAGCATCATTAATATATTGAAACACATTATGTTTGCCCCGTTTGGAATTGGTGACTGATTTAGCTACGCGCACAATGTATTGCAAAATATTGGCCGTCGAGATCGATCCACCAATGACCAAGACGTCCTTGTTTTCAAACTCATCCAAATATCTAAACGATTTTGCGTGGCTTAAACGGTTAGGGAAATTGGCATTGTACTCTGCCAACCCTTTGATATTAGGAATGTATGGCACAGTGTAATGGCCATTGGCAACCACAACCGCGTCAAATTCTTCCTGATACCATGCACTTTTATTACCAACTTTGTGTCTCACAGTCACAACCCATTTGTCTCCGCGTTTTTCGACATTCTCCACCGACGTATTCAATCTGATATGTTGTGATAAATTTTCATCCTCGATAAAATCACTAAACCTTTGTGACAATTCCTGATGAGTTAAAAAGGGATAGATTTTCCTCTCTTTTGAAAGATACTCCTCCTCATTTGGCAAGTAGCTGTACCTAGTAAATCTTGTGGGGATATTGGTGAACAAAAAGGGAAAGATTCCCGATCTGCTCCACTCTAACTCATTAATCAACGGGCCATGGTGTGGTAGACCGCCTGGACCAGTATAGCTGGCACCGTTTTCAACCACCACCGGATGGTCAACGGTGGCGCCTTCAACCCCATCGGGGGCAACATTACTGGGTCTAATATTAATTGGATCGCTATAGCCCTTGTTGAGGATTTCTTGGGGTGGCACCGGTAAGTCTGCTTCTGGAGTAACTGGTGCCCAAATCCCACCGGCTTTATCCTTCAGTTCAAAAGCAACAATTTTCGTAAAGGCTGGTACTTCAGGTTTGGCAGCATGCTTGTAGGATTTTGTTGCGTCGGTTAAAGTGGAGGTTCCATCAGCATTCGTGTGTAAAAACTCGTAAAGAGAGGCTAATCCAGCTGGGCCAGCTCCGATAATGGCAATGGATTTAGGTGACATATTTTAAAAATGGATGTTAGTTGAAAGGGCTGGATAAGGTCGTAAATGAGAAAGTGTCACCTTGTAGGGTATATATGTTGAAAATGAATGAAAAATGTGGTGGATCATTATCATCATGACGTGATGGGCATGGTCCGGCTTTGAGCCACAATTTGGGTCTACTTGTGAAAATTGTCTAAATTGAACGTTTTGTGTAACGTACTTCGGGTCATTTACAACGTAGGCCGAAGGCTGTTCTGTACCGCTCGCAGATAGTGACGTGTAAATTCAATATACCAAAAAAAATCTAACTCTGCTTTATTCTTTCTCTATATAAATATACAACGTTCTCAACACCCAATAAGCTTGTTTTGGGGGACTGAATACCCTCCATCTTCAAATGATGTGATGTTCGGATTCTCGTAAAGATTCAAATGTTCTTGAATGTAATCGTAAGTTGGATAGTCCTCTGGATCGCAACCGACATTAATAGCATCTTCTGGTTGGTATATTCTAACGTAATCTATGTGGAAATGTGCTGGGAATACAAGACTGTTCCAGTCGATGTAAGCCCAATTGTTTGAGATACCAAAGTTCATAATAATACTCATGGGCTCCTTCGACAACGGTCTCCAGCCAATATTTCCGTTTGGATGTAATGACTTGGAGTGGACAGTGAGTGTGGGATCTCGGCCAACATACCAGCGCAAGTACCCATCATCATCGTCGTTGAGCAACTCAAAGCCAAATCTTTGGTAGTTATGCTCCAACCCGTCTCCCCTTTCGTACCATGTAATGTTCAATGTGGTTGTGGCGGAAAAAGCTTGCTGGAAGGGACCACCGGTATAGGTGTTCATGGTTGTGATTGAGTAATTGTAGATCTCAATATAGTCGTAGTCTGGATAATACCAGATATCCATGGGGGCCAATTGTAGTGATTGTGAAGCAACACCATTATTCAGTTTACCGGCCTCAGTAGTGGTCATGATTTCAGCTTCAATTACATCGATTTCCGGTGCTCCTCTTCCTGTTCCTGGATTTGGATGTGACTCTCCCGAACAGGTACATTTGTTTAACCTTTGTCCTGGTAGGTAGGAAATCCCATCGGGTGAGGATTGATTGGGCGTGATACCGGCATCACATGAATCATATGAATATGGCCAAACACCATCAGTTGACCCCAAATAACCAGGTCTTCCCAAGTTACCCATTGTCCAAAGACCCGGCCACAATCCAGAAACAGTACCATAATTGGGCAATCTTGCTGATATTTCGATTCTTCCCTGAGTAAAGCATAATTTATTCCACGATTGAAGCATACCTGAACGGTAAAACAAGTCGTGGTTCTTGAAAGCATCCATAGTGAGCACTAAAGTTCCATTGGCTGTGGTGACTGCATCAGGATCGTACCATTCCAAATCCTTAGTAGCATCATAATGGATATCAGGTGCAACGAAAAATTGATCATCGTCATCGTAGAAAGTTCTGCCGTCAGCGTTAAACTCATCACTGAATACCAATTTCCATTTATCGCCGCTCTTAGATTCCAAAGTTAATGCATCTTCTGGCGTGTCTGGATCAACCAAGTCTGTTCGAATTGCACTCAACATTGGGTATTCATAACCTGTCAAGACTTCATACGATTCAGGATGATAGTGCTGTGTTGCCCCTGAATAAGTCAATACCGGTAATACGACAAAAACGGCAAGAGCACAAATTGCCAATGCAATCAACCCCAATAATCCCCCCAATGATCGTTTGTCCATATTCTTCAAGTCATATAGGAATCTATTCTTTTCGTATTGAGCATCGACAACTGGGTCAGGGTTATGCAAGTAGTCGTCGGGTTCTTTATCTTCAATACTCAAGGGGAATGATGATGCAGGATATCCACCAAACGGAGAAAAATCATTAGGATAAGGACTTGAGCTTTGTGAATCGGAATCATTTAACGAGTTTGACGATGATGATTGTGAAATATGATAGTTGTTTGTGCCACTCTTGTCCTTTTCTTGATGTTGGTACATTTGTGATGCCAATGAAGCTGATGATACAACTCTTGATCCTGCCATTGAAGGATATCTGTCAAATTCAGCAGGACTCGATGGATTTAATCGGTCATAGTCTCTATTCAAAGCTCTAGACTCATCTGAGCTTGAAGTTTCATGCATGAGTAGATTAGTACTTCCACCATTGGTATAGTACCCTCCATGTGACAGGAAAGCGTTACCATACGAATCTAGTCCGTTATTACTAGCATTATGATCAGCTAAACGTTGCAGTTGTGGTTGTTGGAAATCATATGACCCTTGTTGTTTTGGTGAGCCAGTTGAATGCGATGAGAGTTCAGCGTCCTCATCGGCAAATGGATTTCTTGTGGTTTCATCTCGTGATATATCTTCATTTGAGTAGTCACGATCATTTATGCTGAAATGGGGCGTATTGAATGTTAGATTTCTGTCGGCTGCCATTTTCTGTGATATATTATATGTCTATGTCTTTGAGGTAAATTTCTTGGAAACAAGACGTTAGTTCAAATGGATGCAAAATAGACAAACAGTGATAATTTTCTTGGGTGTAACCTTGTGGATCTTGTTTTCTTGTCGAGTAATCCCTTTGCTTTGGATAATAATGTGAAAATGAACTGAGTTATGTAAGTTGATGTGAGGTACAAGAAAAGTAATAATAGTATTGTCCTTCGTTCTCTGCCTAGTTGACTCTTATTTTCTTATGGAATAGTGTTTGATAAGTAGTAAGAAGATCTGGTACTTTCTCAAGTCAAGAATCTCTATTTCCTTGGCTGATGCGTCTAGGTAGATCTATTTTAAACTTTATTTTTTTCTTGTTTTTATATAACGAATGTGACAAGCCCTTACTCTCTCTGTCTATAAAACTATAATACGATCTTAGCGAGTGTTCTTGGTGTGAGGACTGTGAGTGATTGGTCGTGGTGTATAAGAAGAAGCAAAGTAGTAGTAGTAAATAGTTGTTGTTCTTGCTCTGTTGTCTGCTCCCTTTCGAAATAAAGAAGTTTTTTTTTTTTGTTGATATCCCACTCTGGCTTTGCTCTGTCTATGTCTTTTTGCTTTGTAGACTTGGTAGGCTTAGATGGTCGTGTATGATGTATCAAATATTTACATTTTTCTCTTTTGCTAAAGACTTTTGTGTAGTATCCTGTACAAAAATTTCTTTTTTTTATTTTATTTCTTTTTTTTTACAACAATTAAAATTTTTGTATTTTGTTTGTTCCTTGAATTGAAATCTTTTTTTCGTGTCTTTTTGCGTGTTTTTATTGTTTATTCATACACGACCTTTGCTCTCCTGTAAATGATTACCGTATAGTATCAATCGACTGAACAGCCGGTGATCTTCTTGTAAAGTAAAGCCAAAAAGTCAACTAGACTTGCCCTATTTCTACACAAGTACTCTAAACACTATCCTGCGTCATGAAAATTTACTTATAGTAGCTAATTGGTAAACAAAACTCAAAAAATATGGTTAAAATTCATGCAGGTATGAACAAGGATAAACAATGCAGCAACTAGGGAGGAGGAACAGAGAGGGTAGCAAATTGTAGCTACAAGTGTACAAATACTGGGCCGGTGTAAACCCACAAACAAAATTGCAACCTCTGTATGTGAACTTTCTCCAAATTTGTGGTTGACTCGATGCTAGGCAGCTTAAAAGCCAAATCCTTAGTATTTGTTTTTACCTGTCCTGTTTCATGTTTACATATCAAGCGACAAGACCGTTGTTGCAGTACCAAAGGACCACAAAACACGTGAACAGCATGTAGATGCGATGTTGACTGCCTTCCGAAGACCGGAACGAATCGAGATAAGCTTTTGTTGAAAGGTTTTCCGAGGCTTAGAACCACACTCTCTCTCTCCTTCTCTCCTTCTCTCTTTCCCTCTTCCTCCCTTTAAAAGCGTAAAAATAGAAGCAAAAGCACCATACAATTACTTCAACATATAATGAGGCATTGTTTGTGGATGTGGTTGAATTGTGGTGCAAAACAAAAAAAAAGTAGTTAGTATTTGAAACAATGGGATCAGAATCAGGAAAGGGGCGAAGTTCTGTCTATTGTTTTTGTTACACTATGGCCTCGGTTTCCTCTCTTTGCTAACTAGCTGACTGAGTGAACCAAACAGATCATATTATGTCAAGGGATTCACTAGTGACGTGTAGCAGGTTAAAAAAAAGATGATGAAAGGTAGACGTGGCCTCCATTGCATTATTTTATTTTACCTTCTGATGATAATAATAAAGTACTATTTATAGAAGTTGCAGACGCGTCGTTGTCTTAAATCCATGCACACAGAGTATTAACTTACATAACGCATTGTCCACCTTAGGAGCCTACTCACTAGCTATTTAACTACTCCAACAAAGAACGTAGCTAGGGAAACCTATCAACCAAATTGGGTTGTAATGTTTCCCTTTTTGTCTATACTGTTACGTAATATATTACCTAATAGGTGTACAGAAATGGGAAAGGCGGTGCTGATTTTGTCTTCTCTTTTTTTATAAGTTCACAAATATTGCACACTAAACAACGCCATATTCGAACAAGAGCTGCAAAAGGGTCAAAGTGAATCTTTTCTAGAGTAGATTTGTCACTGTTGTGTTTGCCGTATATACGTATAACCCATAGAATGAGGAACTTCACTACTGAAGCTGGAAAAAAATATTTTCAATGGTTATCTAGTTGCCTTTTTGCAACCACCAAACTACAGTGCCTCCAGCAGCCTACCATCCAATGAGTACAGTCCATTAGTATCAGCCGGTAACTGATTAGCCTACTATGTGCCAATAATGGAAGCATCTGTTCTACCAATATTCTTCACCAATTTAAGCTACCACGCTTATTCAAACATTTTAATACTCAGTCTACTATTCCAGTAATGCTAGGCAATACAGCCATCAACAACGTCACTTTCGTTTCGACCAAAGTCTCACCATCCATAATTGCTACGCTAAGTATGTTCACTGCAACGAAATTCACCCAAGAAAAAATCTTCAAGACAAAAGAATTCTCTGTGTTTGCTTAGTTAAGAAATTTTTTGATTTTTTCTTTTTTGTTTCTTCTTTTTTGCAGCCCAAGAAATTTCCAAAACAAGACTAAAACTATGTATCATTCTGCAAGTTCAACTTTATATTCCAAAGTTTATTAAACAGTAAAAGGTATATATAATTTGGAAAGAAAGGCAAAAACAAAAATGAAGAGACCGAAGAAGCGGGGTGTTCTTGTACGCATTTGTCCATCAATACCAGCCATACATTAGCCACTAACTATTGGCTTGTTCTATCTGTCACCTGTCACTCGCTACTGCATCAGTATCATATATTTAATCTTCTTCAACTACGGCTTAATCATGAGACGAAACTTGACTCAGCCTATGCCTTCAATCAACTTGGTGGATGGTGACGAACATGAAAGTTTCAACTATCAGCAATTAAATCAAGAGAACCCACAATCACCAGTCAACCCATTTGAAGTGGAGCAAAACCAAATATCTGAGCAGTATGGTTACGACTATTCGCCACCGCATCTGAACTTGACTGATTCAGATTCGTTTTACTTTCAACGTAATAGTAACAATGAGGGGAGTAATAGATGTAATGATTTCCAAGCTCAGGAACAGAACCAGTATCAAAATGATCAACGACAGTTTCTTACATACAACCAGTGTACACAATCCCGAGGGTACCCCGATTCAAATGATTCACAATCGCTCTACTCATCTCAATCTCCCATATTACCTGGAGATCGAACGTTCCGACCATTACTTGGGACCAGCAGAGATAATAGAGGCAGCAGAAGTAGTAGCGCTCCATCTCCAGTGCCCCGACCAAGACCTGGCCTGGAGTTACTTGTAACTACGCCAACAACAATCCCAGCATATGACCGGTACCCTAAACAGTACACCAGCTCGGCACAATTATCAACTACAAGTTTACTTTACGACGACGATGGTAACAATTCATCATATTCGCCGTCTTATGAACATGAATTCTCCCCATTTGGTGGATACCCTGCCAGTCAATTCCCCCTAAGCATCGATGAAAAAGAACCTGATGATTATTTACATAATCCTGATCCTGTATTGGATTCAGATTATAATCGCCATCGCTTCATGTATGATTTGAAACACATGGATGGACGATCATTTAATGGGATGTTGGCAATAATTGTTATGGTGTTGGCAGCAATTGGTGTGTTTATTGTGTTGCCAGTGTTGACTTTTACAAATTCAAACCCAAAGCCAGTACCACAAGTTTATGAAGTCTTGACAAATTATGAATATCCCATGTTGAGTGCTATACGTCAGGACCTTATTGATCCTGATACTCCTGAATCTGCATTGACCAATGTGGGACAAGATGGTAAAACCTGGAAATTGGTATTCAGTGATGAGTTTAACGCTGAAGGTAGAACTTTTTACGATGGCGACGATCAATTCTTTACTTCTCCTAATTTCCATTACGCTGCAACTCAAGATTTAGAATGGTACGATCCTGATGCAGTCATTACTGCTAATGGAACTTTGGAACTAACTATGGAAGCTTTCAAGAACCACGACTTGTTCTATCGTTCAGGGATGGTTCAATCGTGGAATAAAATGTGTTTTACTCAAGGTAAATTGGAATTCTCAGCGCTGTTGCCGGGATATGGAAACTTATCCGGTCTATGGCCAGGTCTATGGTCAATGGGAAACCTAGGGCGACCTGGCTACTTGGCCACCACTGAAGGTGTATGGCCCTATACTTACGATACATGTGATGCCGGTATCACGCCCAATCAATCCTCACCCGATGGGATTTCCTACCTACCAGGACAAAGGCTAAACAAATGTACCTGTCCTGGTGAATCACATCCAAACCCTGGTGTCGGAAGAGGAGCACCGGAAATCGATGCGTTGGAAGGTGAGATTCATGGTATCATTGGACGAGTGTCTCAATCGTTGCAAATTGCTCCCTATGACATTTGGTACATGCCCGATTACGACTTCATTGAGATTTACAATGCATCAGTGACATTGATGAACACATATGCTGGTGGACCGTTCCAGCAGGCAATTTCAGGAGTCACAATGTTGAATACTACTTGGTATCAATTTGGTCAAGACTCGGGCCGATTCCAAAAATTCGGCTACGAGTACTTGAACGATGATGCCACTGGATACATCACTTGGTTTGTCGGTGACGATGCTACATTTTCCATGAAGTCAACTGCCTTGCATCCTAATGGGAATGTTGGTTGGAGACAAATACCAAAAGAACCCATTAGCATCATTATGAATCTAGGCATCTCAAATTCATGGGCCTATATCGATTGGCCAAGTTTGGTATTTCCTAGCAAAATGAGAGTGGATTATGTACGAGTTTATCAACCAGAAGATGCTGTTAATGTGGGGTGCGATCCTCAAGACTATCCAACTTACGATTACATTCAAGACCATTTGAACATTTATCAAAATATGAATTTAACAAGTTTTGAAGATGGTGGATACAAGTTTCCAAAGAATAAGCTTACAGGGTGTTGAGAGATGTCTATGGTTGTATGCGTAAATATATATATCAAACGTTTATTTTGGCTTTACTCATTGTAGATTATTGAATGTGCTTTGCCGGGGTATATCTCATCCAATGTGTTCTTATTAAATTCACAGTTGAAATCACCAGTTGACATATTGATAAAGTTGATCACACCTTGATTGACAATTGCAACAATGATGCTATTGCCACCTTGCTTAAACCCTAAATCGCGTCGTTTCCAGTACTCATTACGTAATTGAATCGATTTATCTAGTTTGGATTGTCGTTCCGCTTGCTGCTTGGCTCGTAGTTGTCGCTTTGACTCAACGCGTGGTTGTTTCTTTGGGGCACTCTTCTTACTCGACTCACCCTCTGGTTTAATCTTTAGTTGCAGTTGTAGATTCTGCAACTGTGGTAGGGTCAAATAAGCAGTGGATTTGGATGAATCGACAACGACTAATTGGAAATCAGGATGAGGTGGTGACTTTTTAGCAAATGCTGGAGTTGGTCTCCATACATTATACGTGATTTGTAGTTGGTCTTTTGGTGGTGGAGCAACAATTTTGCCCAAGTCCAAAGTGATAGCTTTGTAGATGTTGGTGTAATTGAAATAGGTCTTGGTTTTGAAATGGCTTGTATGTAACGTTGGATATGCAAGCATTCCCCATTGTCGAGGTAATAGCCAAAATGATACATCTAGAGTAGGGTTGTGTACTTTGCCGTTATGATATTGCACAGAAGGTGCCGTCGCAGCTGGTGTTTGCAAGATATAACCCAATCGTTTCAAATATGAATAAACTTGATATTGCAGAATATCAATCATGGCCAAACAATAAAGATATTCTAAATCCAACGCCCATAGCTTCGATTCGATATCAAAGTCACCCCCACCACTTCCCTTGTTGTGCTCTCTCTTTACCAACCAAGAGTCAAATTCATTGTTGGACAAATACGCAATTAGACTGCCTCGTTCAACTAAATAAACCATTTCGTATGGGTTCAAATACATAATTGACCCTGCTGCCGTCCCCATGTCTCTGAAAAAGTTCCCTCGGATTTGTAAAATGACACATTGATTAATCGATGCAACCCAAACTCCCACCAATTTATGCTTGATGTGATGACCTCGTATATTTGATAATGCATCAAACATTGCTTGTTGTGATTCTTGTAGTGAATGGCCCTGAACTGTTGTTCCATCGGGTTCGAATTCCTTCTCACCTCGTTTAGGAATTGCTGATGATGTGGTGGTGCCAGATTGCGATGACGTAGAAGTGATGTGGTGATTGAATTTACCTAAAAGCTTCCAATCTTGTACTTCATCTTCTATGTCATGGTGGCTGTTGGGTTGTATATGCAGAGTAGCTGTAGGTGGTTCATCGTCATCGATGTCCGACATTGAATTAGCTAATTGAAAAAAAGGGATGGTGATGATGTAGCAAATAGTTGTTAACAGTTGTTTTTATTTGGCGCTTTTTCTTGCAATGAAAAATCCTTTTGTGCCAAAAATTGTTGCAAAAAAGAAAGGTACGAAGAAACTTAGGGGGGGGGTAAAGCCTGGCAAAGGGAAATATATTGGAACATCGTACTAAGTCTGTTACATAACTACATGTAGTGGCCACGACCTACTTTTCCAACTCGTGGGACTTGAGCCTATAGTAGCCCCGCGTAAAAAGATCCCTTGAGGGGCTTACGAAGAAAGACAGACACAGTTTGTAGCGAGTAGAAGATGTATAATTTGAGCCATTTTGACGAAGAAGTACAGTTATGAGAAAAATATGGTGGTTAATTGGTTTCTCTTACAGTGGTTGCCTCAAAAGTGGTTCTAAGAAAGCCGCATTGGGTCGACGGTCTAAAAAGTCAAGCAATGCGCGACTACACTAATTTTATACATTTCTCATCCAACTACTACAACAAAAACACACACACACACACACCAGCTAATCTATATTCCATAATGACAGAAGCACAAGTGACTTATCGCACACTAGTATGTTGAAAATACAATGCCCTCTTACATTTAAAGTTTTATTAATGAGCAATTTGAACTAACAAAAAGTAGACTGAATCCTTACTCCATGACATGATCGCCAAAATCATAAAACAACAAGTAGTCAACACTTATTCCGATTATATGACGGTGGAGAAAATCACAATATCCGATCCACAAATTGATCAACTATTGACCAATTTCAATCAACTGAAAGACATAAATAAGGATATTTTCGGTCAAGATAAAACCAAATTGAAAACCAGTGAAACTTCTCGATATTTTAGTTGTGAAAATTGTGGTCGAAAGATTGCTGGTGGGAGATTTGCTCAGCATGTGAACAAGTGTTTGGAAAGAAGGAGAAGACCATGATAGATGATGATGAAGAAGAGGGGGTTTAACAATGGTATTTCACACTTTGAACTATACACGAAATGAATAATGATGCGACGATTAACTAACGAAAATGATGACTGAACCAAGACCTGCTTGTGAGGTATGCGACTATGGTCATTAGAGCTCAATCCCAAACATTCTTCAACACAACAACAATTAAAACTAACTTGCAACAAACAAAAAGGACATGAAGATGAAGTGGTACTGGAAATTCTAATGCTGCTTCATTCATTTCAACGTCTGCGTGATAGAAAGATGTCGATTTAGTTGTCGTAGATAAATAAGGACCGGCCTTTTGAATTTTAGGAAAATAGCGAAAGGTAGGAAAGAATGTTCTGTTTGCACCTGTGAGAGGTTTGATACAGAGTGTAATTGTAGGAGAGTTACATCGCCTATATATATATAGCTCGAGTATCGTGTAAAGATATCCCACGTTTCGACCCTATATGAAATCTGAATTGAGTACTGGTTGCAAGCAGCATTGATCAAGCAGAATAAACCAACCTCTAACAATGTTTTCAATGAACTTTGCAACCCATTTAATAGAAAACCAGCCAGCAATTTCTTTGTTAGAGTCACGTGAGTGAAATGTGTATTATGTAATACAACAGGCTTGTTTGGACTAATACCTTACATAATACACTTTCGAAGAAAAGGGGAAGGACAAAACAATGACTTACTACTGAAACATGGCGGGGTATATATATCTGATGTAACCTTTTCTAAAAGACACCTGAACATTTCGGATTGTAACGGTTATACACGCTTGTCATCAAATACTTTCAAGATAAATACAAAGACCACCGGAATTTTGTAATTAGACAATGATCATTTACTCCGAGAGTGGAGTTGGTGTTCTAAGCATGGTAGAGTCACTAGTTCACTTACTTACGGCAACTTGCACTCTTTGCACCGTAAAGTTTCAAACTCGTTTATCAAATTGGAGAGAACCTCCTCTTTTAAAAACTTGTCGCCGTCAATGGAAATGTTCAAACATCGACTTGGATACTAGACTCAGTCGGGGAACCTCTTTTACAAGTAGCTTGTCTTCGAAGAGTGATCTCCGACTCATCCCCTTCGCTTAAATCCAATTCTCGCCCCTTTTGTTCAAATGGCACACAGCGCAATACAATTTACCCCAAAAACAGAGATTATATATACCCCAGTTGTGGTTTTGTGTAATACTTTGCCATATATACGGACTCTTTTGAAATAAAATAAAGCTTGACACACAATTTCCAAAATCATTCTCATAGATCGGGTGGGGTTTGGCGGTAGTTTCTTGTTGGTTCCTAGAGCTGACAATATATATATATATATATTAGAAGAGTAATTCCTCTGGTCTTTAAACTCAATAGAGTCCACTTTCAGAGATTTGCTTTTTACCTCATAATTACTACATTATATCACCAATGTCTAGCTTATTCTCATCAACAGATTGTCCAGCCACGGAGGCCATCTCAAAGTTACCTTTTAGTGAGGAAGTTAGTAAATCAGTTGCAATGGGCCCAGATACGAACAAGTACAATAGTTCCAACTATTCACAAGTTTATAGGAACAGGGCGTATTCTGAAAAACTAATTGATTCGATACACCCAGACTTGAGCACTCATCCGAAATTATTCAACCATGCTGCTAAGCTTTACGCGAATCGTCCATGTTTGGGAGCTAGACCTTATGACTATGTCAACAAGAAACTGGCTAATCATTACGAGTACTTGACTTATAGTGAAACCAATACGAAGAAAAAACATATTGGTGCGGGGATCATCAAATCACTTAGTGATAATAAGAATCTTAACTTGGAATTGGAGGCCCATCGGAAAGTTACCAACCATTTAAGAGATTGGAGGAGTTATGGCGTCCCCAACTATCTTCGTGATAACAAAGACCACATAATTGAAAAGAGTTGCTCTTTCATTTTATCAATCTTTGCTGTCAACCGTTTGGAATGGTTATTGACTGACTTGGCATGTTCGGCATACTCCATCACAAACACCGCTTTGTACGACACACTAGGACCGGATGTGTCACAGTACATTTTACACTTGACGGAGAGTCCAATTGTTGTTTGCACTGTTGACAAAGTGAAACCACTTCTCAACTTGAAAAAGAGCTATCCTGAGGAGACAAAAGCATTGATTTCAATTGTACTGATGGATCCCATCAAGTATCTTGACCCTAGTTTGTACCAGTTGGCTAAAGAGTTGAAAGTTGAAGTTACGGATTTGCAAGAAATTGAGGAACTAGGCAAAGCCAATCCAATTGAAGAATTGCCACCAACACCAGATGCTCTTTACACCATATCATTTACGTCAGGAACAACTGGCTCCAAACCAAAAGGTGGTATGATCCCCCATAGAATGGCCGCCTCGTATATGTCATTCTTGGCATTTATCGAGCCACAAGCTAAATTAGGTGATATTGCTTATATCTTTTTGCCATTGACGCACATTTACGAAAGACAAACTAGTTCTTTTGCACTTTCTGCTGGTTATGCATTGGGATTTCCGCAAACAACCGTGGGTCAAACCAATGTCAATAGCTTTACCAATATGATTGATGACTTGAGAATTTTACAACCAACATATATGTCAATTGTCCCTAGATTATTGACTAGGTTGGAAGGCTTGATTAAGGAAAAAGTTAAGGAGCTCAACCCAGACGAACAACATAAGGTGAATCAAATTATTGAATACAAACTTCACGAGCAAGCAAAACATGATGGTCCAGCTGGTTATGATTCCAGGTTTGATTCATATGCCCCCTACTACAATTTGCGCAAATTCATTGGCTATGACAGGTTGAAATGGGTGCAAACAGCTTCTGCACCAGTTGCAGCAACAACATTGGCGTACCTTAAGGCAAGTTTGAATATAGGCGCTCGTCAGTTGTACGGTTTGACAGAGTCAGGCGGTGCTTGTACGTCAACTAGCGAATATGATTCTAAGCCCGGTACCTCGGGGTCTATTGCCCCAACCGTTGAATTGAGGTTACGTGGGGTCAGAGATATGGGATACGACGTGGCAAAATTGGAAGGTGAGGTGATGTTGCGCGGCCCACAAATGTTTAAAGGATACTATTATAATCAAGAAGAGACTGATAAATGTATCAATGAACACGGATGGTTCCATACTGGAGATATAGGAAACATTGACGAAAGAGGAAGATTGGCAATTACTGATCGGGTAAAGAATTTTTTCAAATTAGCTCAAGGTGAGTATGTTTCTCCTGAAAAAATTGAAAATCGTTATTTGTCAGCTAACCCAATCATCAATCAATTATACGTGCACGGTAATTCATTGAAGTCTTATTTGGTTGGTATAGTTGGAATTGATTATGAACAAGGATTGAAATTCCTCAATAGTGAATTTGGTATAAATAAAATTGACATGTCGGAGGATGAAATGTTGACTCATATGAATGGAGTCGAAGTCAAGACCAAGCTCTTGAATACATTGAATGATAATGTGCGTGGTAAATTGAATGGGTTCGAGTTGTTGCACAATATCCATATTGAAGTTAATCCATTGACGGTTGAAAGAGATGTAGTTACTCCTACATTCAAGTTGAAAAGACCAGTTGCACAAAAGTTCTTCAGCAATGCTATTCACAAGTTGTATGAGATTGAACAAAGCTTGATTGTGGGAGCAAAATTGAAAATGGCCAAGTTGTAAAGTTTTTTATGAAATATACATTGATGGTAAGAGAATGTTTTACATTTAATTTATTTCCTATTGCCTCTCTTTGACTAAGATACTCAGAAGTATAATTCCAAATATTGAACCTCACTATTGTCTTTTTTGTGTTGTGCCGCCTGTATGACCGTTTTTTTTTTTTTGATTTGACTCATTTGCGGCGCTTCCTTAAAATCATTTCTCCAAATTTTATTTTATTATTTTTCTTTTTTTTTTTTTTTTTTTTTTTCTTTGTTCATTTCTTTTGTTCCGAAAGAAAACTAGCAGATCTTCTTTTTTTACATACCAAAAAGAAGAAAGTTCCATTAAAGTCATATATCTTTATATTCACAAGTTGCATTCGCTATAGTATGACTCCTCCACTAACCCCTATAATATTGGACAAACAAGCTATCAGTGGGATAACCGGCTCCATATCACTAGCATGTTGGATTATCGTTTTCGCACCCCAGATTTATGAAAACTTTACGAGAAAATCATCGGAGGGTTTATCATTGACATTTATCATATTATGGTTAGCTGGTGATGTCTTTAATGTTTTGGGAGCAGTTATGCAAGGTCTACTACCAACGATGATTATATTGGCTGTTTATTATACTTTGGCTGATGTTGTTCTATTATGGCAATGTTTAGTTTATGGCGATGGAAATGGCAACAACAAAGAAAAAGGTAACCCCGATTTCACTCATTTATCACCAGCAACTCCTATTAATGAAGATGTTTTAGAGTCGGCCTATTCAAGTGGGAACCCGACATTGCAGACGAGAGACGAAGAGGCAAGTGTACGATCAGACTCTAAGACGACATCGAGATTGCAAACGACATTACTCAATACCCTTATGGTTTCATTGGTGATCATATCAGGTATAGTAGGATGGTATATTTCCTACGTCAAAGATTCTCATCGCAAGCATAAGCATCCAGGTGAAGGTCATCGTCCTGAAGATTTGATATTCGACCCATTAGCTCAAACATTTGGCTGGTTATGTGCTATTTTGTACTTGGGGTCGAGGGTACCGCAGATTGTCTTGAATTATGAGCGTAAATCATGCGACGGTATTTCATTTATGTTTTTTTTGTTTGCATGTTTGGGTAATTTGACCTATGTTATTTCCATTTTGTCGATTGATACTAGTTGGAATTACCTCTGGGTGAATTGTTCGTGGTTGGCTGGTTCGTTGGGTACGTTGGCTTTAGATTTCACCATTTTTGTCCAATTCTTTTTATACAATGGCAGTGAAGATGAGGCTTTTGATAGTGAAAGTGAGTATACTTCATCTTCAGCTGATGAACGTTTGCTCACAGGCGGTGGTAATAATAGCGCCTCGTATGGAACTACTAGGGAGTAGATGAAGCCAGGGGGAGCAAAAAGAGTTTGCTTATTTATGTATTTTGAGAACAAGACAAAAGTGGCTTACATTAGATAGATAGACTATGTGTAATGAAACAAACATGTCTGATGATGATTTTGTTCTACAACATAAAGAAGTCTACGCTCTTTTGATCATGAAGGGATAATTTATGCAGGGGTTCTTGGCCCCCGTTATTTTCCGGTGTAGAGGATGTACATGCATTATGTCTTGTCAGTTCATCATATGTTCTAGAACGGATGCGAATTTTTTATCATTCGGATTTAACGTTTTATTTGCAACTTTGTTCTGTGTTCTCTTTTCCTTTTTTTCCTTTCTCTTCCTTTCCGCTTTTATTATAATCACAAGAAAAATAACCTTCAAAAACAAAAGTACAAATACCGTTTAGACTGAAGGCGGGGATTAAATAACTACACTTGATCTCATCTGCTACAAATATACACACACAGAGGTTGCAGTAATGTCTGAAATCAAGTCAGACGATGATTCCGTACTTCACTCGACTGATATTATGTCGCCCAATGAAGGGCCCCACTACACAAACAACGCAGTAAAGGAAGAGGGTCGCATCAAGAAAAAGAGAAATAGACCAAGCTTGGTTTGTTTCCCGTGTCGAAAGAAAAAGATCAAATGTGATAAGGGCAAACCGTGTCAGATGTGTGTCAAGAATCAGATTGCTGACCAGTGTGAGTACGACGAAAGACTATTGGCCAAGCAGGAAGGAAAAAGGAACAAAAAGAATGGTGATTCCAGAGCTTCTAAAAGACGCAAAGTACTAGCTTCTTCTGAAGAGCCTGTCCGAGAGGCATCAGTGACCTCACCAGAAGTTGTGTCTAATGAGAAGGTGGCGAGAAACAATGGCACGTATCTGCCAAACTCGTCAAGCGATGTTTGTGTCATTATGAAGAAATCCGAGTTGGAAGAGCTTCAATCAAGATTAAAGCAATACGAATCGCTGATGAGCCCGCCAGCTAATTCTCGAAAAAAGACAAAAGCTGGATTGTCCTCGAAGTTGAAAAATGAAGACAAAGATAAAAACATTGTTTACAATAGATCTATCAACAGTTTCCAAGGTATAATATTCACCACACACGAAGAATCGCGGCCTGGCTATGTACCTCTCACAGACGTGCTGACGGGTGAAATTGAGTTGTATGACAGTGAGCAATCGATGACAAAGGAGATCCATCTCGACGATATCTGCAAACGTGACAAGTTTTTGGCTGGCATTAACCCTTACGACAACCCTAATGATGTTATTCCATTGTATTCGCAAATATATTCCAGCAATGATGGCTCAAAGACTAGGAATTTGTACCCGTTGTCATGGTCATACTCCGTTCGCAATAGTGCATCCTTAAAGGCGCTTAGAACTTTTGCAGCAAAACAAAAGCACAAGGACAAAGGCGTCAAAGCTGGTATTACTTATGATCCGCTAAAGAGGTTGATTGAACCGGTGGATGAAAGGATAAAGAGCACTTTGAAATTTGATGAGAGCTCGGTTTCTCGATTCGAAGCTCGAACGAAGGACACAGAAGATGACAAATTGGCAAGGGAAAGAACAAAGAGTATATCGATTACACCAAACCCAGTTAATTTGTCAACATTGGCGTTGGAGTTGAGTGTTTTGGGAGGTCCAAGAGACCACGAGTTGACTTTGATTGAGCAGATTCAATCCGTAATGCCAACAAGGAGGGTCATATGGTTGCACGTTAGCCGATTCATGTACCTCCTATACCCATTTTTTCCGTACTTGATTGAGGATGAGTTTAGAAGGTTGATCGAAAAGATTATCGGCAAAGAGTCTTACGACGATATAAAACCAGCTGTCAAAATAGCACATCGTGGCGACTTTGCTCAAATTGGAATCTTGTGTGTAATCCTTCGACTATCGTACTTGTCATTGTTTCATAATCGCGGATTCCATAACGAAAAAATACTTGCTAAAACTGACCTATCTCCCAGTGAAGCAGAGAAAAAATATCTCTTGTTGAATCAGATTGAAATTGGGGCTGCCGAAGTGGCCCAGGCATGTTTCCGACATTTGGAGAGATTGGGAAGAGTAAGCATTCCAATGTTGCAATGTGGTGTCTTTTTGCGTATATATAAAATTTATGCACCAGAAGAAGGTGATGGTTTGGAAGGAGGCAATGGCCAGATCCAAAACAGTATCTTGGTTTCCATGTCTTATATGCTAGGCTTGAACAGAGAGCCCGACAAGACGCCTGATTTCAAAGATGATAAGATGAAAAACTTGTACAGAAAAATTTGGTACTTTACTGTACTGACCGAATATAATTCGGCAATCTTGTATGGAACGCCGGTGCTGATTAGAAGGGAGAGCTATGATACAAAGAAACCATTTTTCACGTGGCAGAACTCGAACCTGAGGAATAAAGAGACTGATCAGACGACAATATTTGCCTTTATGTCCACCATCATTGGTGGTCCAATTCAACATGTGCTTTCGATGTATTCTAACGTTAATGGAAATATGAAAGTCGAGGAACTAACAACACATCTCAATTTTATCGAACAAGGCGCAAGGAAGCTTCTCGGTAAGCTAGATGACTATTTGTATTCTCTAGAGGAGCTGGACTCGAGATACCATACAAACAAGATTTCGAAAGCTGCCAGCTTGTTGAAGTTGTACTCCTTTTTGATGTTGAATTATTGTTTCTTGTTTAATTTTTATGAAAAGTCCAACAATACCTTGAGTTATTATTACTTGAAAAAGATGTTGACTTTAGCAATGGGCGAAATAATAGTGTCTGGCTTTGCTTTGATAACCAAGAGCCAAGAAATATTTGGGGAAGGTGCTGATCTATTCATCAACCCTATTATCATTCAAGTATTAACGAGAGTAAGTGATATCTGTATAGTTGGGATTATCCGTACCAACTTTTCGCTATATAAAGCACGCACGGGCAAGGACAAAAGATCAGGCATTGAGTACAAACAATTCACGGCGACGCTTAATCGATTCATCACTCTTATGGAAAAATGTTGTCGTATTTGCTTGACAGGAATATCGATTTTGAGTAAGAGATATTTTTTTGCTTGGGAAGTTGTAAGAAGCCAAAATTATTATCTAAAACTAGTTACTAGTTCGGCTTTTTACAAGGAGATAAATATTGATGGCTTGGACTTTGCCCAGCCAACTGCAGAGTGGATGCTGGAGGTTGTTGATTTTGTTGAAGACAGCTTGGAAAAGTTTGAGCAAAGCGCGGAAAAGTACTGTAAAGAAGTTGGTATTGAATCATTGTTTAAAAAGACTGAACCAAAAGAGCAACAAAAACCGTGCAACAACGAGTCATCCTCGAATGTCCTATCGGATCTCAATTTGACCAACAGGGGCCACGAGACGGTAATGAATACTCCGGCAAGCGTTGATTCAACTGGATTATACTTTACCGGCTTTGAGGATCTACGCTTTGACAATAGCGAGGAGATTGATTCCGTCTGGTTGCAAATGTTGTCTCTGAAGACAAATAATCAAAACACGGGTATTTTACAGTATGACAGTTTATTTCAGCAACAGCCAAGTATTGTTAATAATAACTGCATGGAGGGGTTGGGTTATGACAATACGGCGTACGGCAGGGCTGGTGTTGCACAAACGCAGTATGCCAATCCATATTATACAAACGCTCAAGCTCCACAATTGACCCCAAATATGCAGGGGCAACCAGCAACGGCGACTACTCAAGATCAACCAGCGACTGCCACTTTTGAAGGCCAACCAGCAGCTGTCAACCCACAAGGCCAACCGTTTACAGATAATATACAATATCAATCTCAAGGCAATACATCTCAGAATCCACCTCCGCAGCCTAATTTATTCAACTATTCCGAAATGTTTGATGATTTACCATTAGATAAACTATTTAATCAGTAAATGTAATATAATATAGATTTAGACATAGAATCTGGAATTTCAGATGCTCGAGGGACGATTTGTAATTTTCACCCGATCCCTTCTCTCGCTCTTACCTAAATCGGAAATCTCGGAAAAGATGAAACATTGTTTCTCTTTTTTTTTCTTTTTTCTTTCTCTCTCTCTCTCTTCTCCCACATAAACACCTCCGCTCAGGAGAAAATATTCATTCATTAAGGAATTGTTTCGCCGTGTCATTTTTGCCATTAGCTTTATCTTCTTGCATTTAACACATACCAAAAGAATCATCATCATGTCGACAATAGCAGGAGTTCCACAAATACCAACGATTGTGAAAGAGGAACAGAAGCAACCAGCACAGCGTAGGAGAAAGAGACCTAGTTTGGTTTGTACAAATTGTAAAAAGAGAAAAATCAAATGTGATAGACAATCACCATGTTCAAATTGTGTGAAAGCTAGGAGTAATATTGAATGCAGTTATGATGAGGAAGGCGTGAATGATCTGACCCAAAAATTAGATGGAGTGATTCGACCATACGAACAAAGTGCCAAACAACCGTTACTGTTTGTTAACAATCTATCTCCGAATAGTACAACAAGCTCATATTCAACAAGCAGCAGGAAGAGGAGCAATACTAGCAATGATGAAAATGGTCTCAAAAAGCAAAACTCCAACCCAGAACTCGCAAATTCGTTGAACGAAATTAAAATGTTGAAACAAAGATTGGAATCAATCGAAAACAACCTTCATCAGAACGGCCAAAGCAGTGGTAATTCGCCGAATAACTACATTCCCACTCAAGTTAACTCAAATTTCAAATATATTCAAAGCACTCCATATTCAGTGCTGTCACCCGTGTTACCTCGGCCGACGATTCAACCGCAGTTGTCTACAGTTTACAACTTGTCAAACGCAAGAACTCCATCAATACAGCTACCTTCGTTGAGAGACCACATGCCCCCACACGAGTCACCAACAGCTAGCTCTAACTACCTGGTGCCGTCTGTTGCAACATCGCCAAATTATGCTCCCCCTCAATCAGGAACCAATTTACTAGGAGTGAATCCTTACTTGAATGAAACGGAGACAATAAACTTTTATGACAACTACTCCTCGGTATGTTGCAGAGACTTTATGAGAGTCAATTATGGGCCCTTTGCATGGACCTCAATGATGAAGCGTGACCAAGGATTGAGTGCGCTTTGGGACTTTATAAGCAAGCAAAAGGAAGGCTCGCTGAATTTTGCAGTTTGCCCTGCTAGCAATGAAGTAACTCAGGAGAATACACTGGTTGTCGTAAGTGACAACAGTGACTCCGATATGAAGTTTCGCAAACGTATGTTGGAAAATAATGGGTACAGTGACGTTGTGCCTTACAACATGTTGAAGTCAAAAATGTTGTCAAAGTCTAATAAGGACACCATTCAATTGGAGTTGACCTTGTTTGATAATCAGATTGGTTGCGAATTGGTATTGATTGATAAAGTACGGAGAATTTTTCCCAGCAAAAAAGTTGTTTGGAAGTTGGTTGATCGATTTTTTGAAATATGTTATCCATTTATGCCATTTGTTGACGAAGAGGAGTTTATTGACTGGACGGAGAAGATTATTGGGCCTCGCTCATATGAAGATGTTCCTATTAACGACTTGAAGATTGAAAAGAGGTTAGACTTGGCCTTTGTGGGGACCTTGTTGATAACCATGAGGTTGGCTTATTTATCTCTCTTTTCAAATAAGGCGCTGGAGAATGATGAGAGGTTGAATACTACCGACCCTAGCCCCAAAGCTCAAGACACCAAATATTTGATGCAAAACCCAATTAGTATTGAAGTTATCCAAATTGCTCGATTCTGCTTCTATCAGTTTGATATATTGAGAAGAGCAACATTGCCTTTGATTCAGTTGGCGTTGTTTATGAAGATTTACTATATGTTTGCTCCTGAAGATGGCGACGACGGTGATGGTGCTGATTCGAATGGATTATCTGCGTTAGTCACTCAAATGGCATATTCTTTGGGACTAAACCGTGAACCTGAGAATTTTCCAGATGTTTTGACAGACAAGAAAAAGAATCATGTGGGTAGAAAAATTTGGCATTTGATAGTGATGTCTGACTTTTATCAAGCGTATACGTATGGAAGTCCCATGCTTATCAGTGCGGACAGCTATGATACCAAAATCCCTTACTCAAATGCAGATAACTCGAACTTGAAGGACAAAAAATTGGACAAGTATATTACTGAGTTATACTTTCAGAATGATCCGGGAATGCTGAGTGTATTGAGACAGCTCCTTAAGAATATCCTCAGCTTAACAGGAAGAACAAAGCTCGGCGAATTGACCAATTTAATTAGTGAACTTGAGGTAAGGATAGGCCAGAAGTACGGTTCGTTGAAAGAATGTTTGAAAACTGATATACAAAACACTCATGTGTTTGCAAGAAATTTCCCAGCCAAACATTACATCTCAATGAAGTCGTTTCTTCTTTCAACGTTGTACCATATATTCCTTCATTACGAAAACAAGGATCTCCAATTGACATTCTTTTACTTTAAGAAGATGATACAGATTGCTGCTCATGACTTGATGCCGCACTACTTTGAGCTTATGGGTAACAGTGCCGTGATATGTGACATGTTTATAAACCCCAAGTTGCAGCATATTATTCACAAATTGAACCAGCTTAATTTAGCTGGGATAATAAGGGTCAACTTAAGTATTTACAGGCTAAAGTCAAAAGCGGACCATGAATCAAGGTGCTATTCTGACAATGCATACTATGAGTATTATAAGGAGTTGTGCAAACTCTCCTCGTGTTTGACTAGATGTGCAGAGGTGTCAATAGCTGCCGTATCGAAATTAAGTTCGAGGTATTTCTACGCGTGGAAATTGACTAAAAGTCATTCATACTTTTTGAAGGTGATTACCTCGATGGATTTTTACAACGATGAGACTGTCAAGTCTAATTACAATGTCAAATTACCCGATTTCTCCACTGTGCAGATTAGAGAATTGGTTGACCTATGTGAAGGTGCATTGCAAAAGATGGGTAAAGTTAATTTGATGGGTAAGGAATTCTGTAGTGATGTGACTTACCGAAAATATGCCAACAATGATGCATCATCGACATCGTCAACATCAAAAGAATCGGTTAGCTTGTCAACTCCATCCAGCGACACTTCAGTTGGCGAGTTCACCAAGGAGTTTGGTTTGGACTATCTTAATAGTGAAGAGATTGATCGAATTTGGTTGCAAATGTTGTCGCAGAATCAGCAACAGCAGAGCCAGCAGTTGAACTATGGAACCCCGCAGCCCATTTTGCAACCACAAAGTGTGTCACAGGGTGAGCCACAGCAGAGTCAGCAACAACATCAGCAACAACAGCAGCAACAGCAGCAACAACAACAGCAGCAACAACAACAGCAGCAGCAACAGCAGCAACAACAGCAACAACGGTTAGGCAATTCAGCTCCTCTCGGTCAATCCCAACGTGGGTATGGAATGTCACCGGGGCCTAACTGGCAGAGTGGAACTTCTTTCAATTCATTTGATGCTCCCGTAACCCCCGGTCTCGTTACAAATAATGGGTTGGACGACATCAATCTGTTTGACTTTTTCAATGATTTGCCCTTTGATCAAATCTTTCCTAGTTAAAAAGTGTTTATATTGTATATGCTTTGTACATTGAATTTTTATAAGTTCGGTTTGGCGAATGAATTTTACTAGTTCAAATAGAGCTTTGTGTTGGATCTACAATGGAAATCTTTGCTTCATTGTATTGTGGCTTTAATCTAAAAAGGATGTAACTATATTTATCACCACAACGTTCGTCTCACTTCCTTACAACTTGGCAAGTCCCAATTTTGGACCAGCTAGCAAACTTTGTTCAATCTCATACAATTTATGAATAGCATTGGCGAAAAACTTCTGTGCAATTGGTCTCCTCAATTTAAAAGTCGGAGTAACAACATCTCTTTCAACCGTCAATGGATTAATTTCAATATGGATATTATGCAACAACTCAAATCCATTCAAGTGGTTACGTACATTATCATTCAATTTCGTTAATAATCTAGTCTTGACTTCAATTTTATTCAAATGGTGCAACATCTCCTCTTCTCTCATGCCAATTCTATTGATACCAAATTCACTATTGAGAAATTTCAATCCTTGTTCATAATCAATTCCAACTATACCAACCAAATAAGACTTCAACGAATTGCCATGCACATACAATTGATTGATTATAGTGTTTGATGATAAGTATCGGTTTTCAATCTTTTCCGGAGAGACATACTCACCCTGTGCCATCTTAAAGAAATTCTTCACCCGATCAATAATGGTGATTCGCCCATTCTCGTCAACTGTGGCAATATCGCCTGAATGAAACCATCCATGCTCATTAATACACTTATCAGTCTCTTCTTGATTATAGTAGTATCCTTTAAACATTTGTTGTCCTCGCAACATCACTTCCCCTTGTAATTTTGCCACATCATATCCCATATCTCTTACACTACGCAATCTGTACTCGGCAGTTGGAGCTATGGACCCACAAGTTCCTGCTTGAGCATCATATGCACCAGTACATGTAATTGCTGCTCCTGATTCTGTCAAACCATACATTTGGCGCACACCCATATTCAAACTTGCCTTGAGGTACGCCAAAGTTGTTGATGCGACTGGTGCAGAAGCTGTTTGCACCCATCTCAACCTATCATAACCGATAAATTTACGCAAATTTTCATAAGGAAGATACGAATCAAAAGTTGCATCATAGGCTGCAGAACCATCAAACTTGGCTTGTTCACGAAGCTTGTACTCAATAATCTGATTCACCTTATGTTGTTCGTCTGGTTTGAGCTCCTTGACTTTTTCTTTAATCAAACTTTCCAACCTAGTCAATAATCTAGGGACAATTGACATATATGTTGGTTTTAAAATCCGCAAGTCATCAACCATAATCGAAAAAGTATTGAGACCAGTCTGGCCAACTGTCGTTTGCGGGAATCCCAATGCATAACCAGCAGAAAATGCAAAAGCACTAGTTTCTCTTTCTAGTAAATGTGTCAATGGGAGGAAAATATAAGCAATGTCGCCGAGTTTAGCTTGTGGTTCATAACAAGCAATAAAGGTAATGTAAGAGGAAGCACTTCTGTGAGGAATCATGACACCTTTTGGTTTGGAGCCAGTTGTTCCTGATGTGAATGATATGGTGAATATTGCATCTGGTGTTGGTGGCAATTCTTCAATTGGATTGGCTTTGCCTAGTTCCTCAATTTCTTGCAA